ATGGGGCCTCCGTCGTTTAATCAACGTTTTGTTCATCAATTGGTTTCTTTGTTGCTTGTCGTCGTCGGGGGGTTTTGACTGTTACTTTGATTGATGGAGTTTTGAGAAATTTCACTGGTTTAGGCACATTATTTGGTTTTGATCAAAGAGTAAATTTTAGCCTAATCCTCACTAGTTATTGCCATCAAGTAGTAAAAAATTATGATAGAGAGGGGGAATGTATATCTATAATTAAATAATTCAAATATAATTTAAAATCATATCTTTGACTGCAGGAATACTGTTTATTGGTTTGTTTAGTTTTTTATTAACGGTCAGATCTTTTAAACTACCTATTAGTATTTTTGATCCTGGTTGTAACTATGCCTAAATTACACCATGCATTAATTCCCCTATAAATTCAGATTTTCTACCCTACTATCCTTAGTGTATTTTTATAAATAACTTCTTGATCAGCATCGTACGTGTTATTAAATTTACGGAAAGTAAATAAAGAAACGTCTTATAACACTTAAAACATATATTTAGGCCTACGCTTATACTGTTACTCACAAGACGGTAAATACGAAAAGGGTGGTAAGTGGTGATAGATTTCGATTGGACACTCCAATCATCATCTTTTTATCATTATCTTTTTTGTATATTTACCGTCTTGTGAGTAACAGTATAAGCGTAAATATATGTTTTAAGTGTTATAAGATGTTTCTTTATTTACTTTCCGTATAATTTATAGCAAGGGAGTAAAATTTAACCAAGTTTATGTGGTTTCATTCATTTTAATAAGCAAGGTTGTGTATCGCTTAAAATATCTGAAATGTGGGTTACATTAAATGCAACAAGTGTTCGCGTTCAACAGGTGACGCCCTGAAATGTTATTCTGTAGTAGCCAGCTGTTAGTCGTAAACAGCTGTCGAGGCACAATACAGAACACAGCAACTGTGTCTGGGGTCTGGTAGGCCTATATTGTTGCTTGTTATCAATAAGGATGTGCAGTGGCGACGTACACAACAGCTTTTAATGTCAACACTTTATGCACCTTCACAAAGTCCCATTTCAAAATACAAATAAATATTGACTTGTTTCGCCCAATATAAAATCTGAAGCCGGTCAAGGGTTCAGACGCCAAGTTAGTGTATACAGAGAATAATGTAATGTGTTTCATCTAAGATACGTGTATAGTAATTATACCTATCGTCTACTATGTATTGTCTCTTAAATTTAAGGTAGACTTACAATTCGTGGTTTACTCTTTGGTAATGATATTATAGGACAACCAACAGCTTACAAATATTAAATACATGGTTATTTTGTGAACCGAATGATTCGTGCTGAAGTTAGTTTACGAATAAATTTTCAACCTGTATAGAGAAATCAACAGTAACACATTTTAAAGATCTTAAGGCAAATTAAAACGCACTTACGAAATATGTCTAAAATCTCATCTCCGTCGATTTCCGAGTGTTCAAAACACACAATTAGTTTTGGTGTGATACGTGAGAGCCGAGGTCGGCTACATCCGGTGTTGTGTCTGTGTAATTGGTAGGTAGAGAGATGCGTGGACCAGACGGCCACCCACTAAAGTGCAGCTGCAGCGAGCGCCACACGGTTACTGAATAGCCAAAGTATCGTATTATTTTTGAAGTTTGTCTGATAAACATTGATGGAAGATGGAATGGAGTTCATAGGTTTGTTTAAGCATTCTCACGTGTAGGTGTATAACTAAAATAAATTTAATTTGTGGGTAACTTGGGAGTACATAATCGTATTTGCTACTTCGCCCGATATTCATTGATAATGGTGTTTTAAACGTTTATTTTGGTCGAATGTACGCGTTTATAGAACGTCATGGTAAACAAAATTAATCTAATTTATTCTCCAATACTTTTTTAATACTTTTTCTTTGGCGACCATACAAAGGTAGGTATTTAATATTTTGTGTCGTCGCGTTTTAGCATGTGGTCCAGTGTGGTAAGTCATTTACAATGATTATTATCATTGTTGCAGTCAATAGTGTCTAAACTCACTCTTGGAAATAAGCTCTTATCACTTGCAAATGATAAAAATGATAAAGTAGCTCGGATGTGATGACGTTTGGTGTGGCCTTCCTCTGCTGTATTTGGCGGGACTTTTTACTTCGCATTGAGTTTGAGTGTTGAAAAAGAATGTGTAATTGGCAACAGCTGTGACTAACTTTCTCAGTCATCCGCCCAAAGTTTTAGAAGTTAAAAGATCCAAAGGTTATTTTTGGGTACATATTCAAAATGTGTTAATCTACCTAGCAGACCTCAAATGATGTCTTTAATTTTAAACTACTACCATCTGTAAAATCACGATTACGATAGGGATTTTGTAAGTGTATTTTACGTGTTATGTTCATTTTATATGACTTCCCTTCTTTATGTTGGCGATGGGTTTCTTGGTAATTTTGGTGAAGGAACATAACTTATGATGAGCGATTCTGTACAATATTTAACTTATAGTGGAATGTTATATATTTTCTTATATGCAGTAATTAATGAATATGGTTTATTCTTTAAGGTTTTAGAGATAACAATTGTTGTAATTAATTAACTTACTTAAGCATGAAGCATTTCACATCAAGTCACTCAAACATCTATATATCTATACACTATACAGTATACTTATTTAATACGCAAGCAGGTTTTTTTGTGACAATTACCCTACTCCACCGAAACTACTGAACCGTGAGATGGTTTTGGTGTCATTGGGAAGAGCGTAAATTGAAGTTGTGCAGGAAACTTTCTTTTTAGATTAAAATAATGTATTTATTTTTAATGGATCTTGAATGTACTATTTTTGATTCTGATATGTTTACCGAAGTGTAGGATAATAGTAAACCTGGAAAAGGGGGAAAAACTTTATCAAACCATTTGTTATAATATAATTGATAAATCCAACTAGATTGCCCGTTAATCGCTGCAACTTCACGATTCGGCGCCAGAAAATCCACTTATTATCAGATTACAATCTCGCTGATGTAAAAACAAACCTAGTCAGAGCATAAGGTGATTTGATAGTGCACTGATAATAATACAGCGGTTGGCGACCTCAATCACGGTGTTGCATTTCAGCAACACTGTAGAATGAAGGAATGAAGGACGATTGAGTCAACAAAAAGTGATCCTGGACTCAAGGAGAAGTGGAAAGAGAACAAAGGGGACAAGAACTAAACTGATTTGGGAGCGGAGGGAGAAGAAAAGACAGTTGGGACGTATTTGGAAGGTGATAAATGATCGGGTTTGTTTTTTCGACATCCACCCTTACCCACACCACATTCCTAGAGTGTAGGATGGTAGGATGGTCACGAAGGACTATAAAATGCCTACAATCATTGGTGATGTAGGGCGAGGAACTTCAAATTTTGGCGTTTCAGTTTTAAATATAGACTATTTAGGATTTCTTAGATGTGTTTTGGTGAATGCAACAGAATATGCTTGGACACAGAGACGGAACAACCGCCGCAAAAGATCTGGAATAAATGAAGTGATGAAATGTATATTGCCAACAATCACCAACAGAGTATTGGCTGTAGTTTCTCAGTTAAAATCCGGTAGTTAACAAGCTGACAATTAATTATTCATGGATTTCCGAACAAAATTATTAGTGGTTAAAAAATATCGAGCAGTTAAAATTTGCTTCAATCCTAACATCCACAAGGACCATGCAAAAGAAAATTCCCATAATCTATGTATTGCCTACTAGATAACTAGAGCTTCGAACTTCAATTTCTTGGAGCAAAATCCCGACCATTATTAGCCAAATATATTTTTAAATTAAGTGGCTTAGGGCATAGTACCGTTTGGGAATTCACCATGTCCGAGCAAAATTAAAGTCGGGATCTTCCAGAGAAGAAATGTCTCTGATGCAAAGGACCTCCAACCAACCGTCCTGCCTGACCTAGCCACTTAAAGGCACAGTTAAATTGATTTATCACGAAGTTGTAATGTATAGGGTCATTTGTATCAGTCAGTTTATAATACTTCTCTCAAAGTCAGCAGTATGCTTACGTAATACAACCGGCAAATTGCAATTCATGCTTTCTTCGTGGAACATTCATTGTGCATGGGGGATTGCGTCATTTTGTAAACATGAATACATGCCGTCTCGTGTGTTACATTTAATTGGAACTAGTTTAGGAGGTTGTTAATCGTCTGTGTAGTTTGTTAGGATAGGAAGTACCATCTAAGTTGATTTACTTGCCATACATTATTTAGACGTCAGGTCGAAAACTTGTCACTTTAAAAATCCATCACGTGTCTCCAGTGCCACGTTTAAGCAGCCAATAAATCAGTTTTAGTGAAAAATGTAAGAGAGCAAAACTAATGGATGAAGAGAATAAATATTTATACCCCAAAATTCCAACACGATTTGCAAATCAGATTGAAAGCAAGTTGAACTGAAGTAATTATTGAACACTATAACTTGCATCGTCAATAACAAAAAAATCACAAACCCTTATGATAATATTGGCTCATAAGATTATAAAAGACTTTTGAATGAACGGGAGTGGCAGTTACAAGAAATGTCGTAAAAAAGAAAGTTCCCAGATGCCTCACCTAGCCATAATTATGATGAAAACGGGTACGGTATGTGTGAAAAATACCCCCCCCCCCCACCTTAAAACGAACTTTTAACAAAGCACGATTATTCTGATTCTGAAGTTAAAAACTATCAACTTCGTCTTGTTCTTATAGGGCCTAGTGAGAATTCTATCCTACCCTAAACAATGTGATGACAACTAATATTTGGAACATTCCCTAGTTTTAATCCATCAGTCAATCATTTTCTGTAAAATGAGATTAGCGGATAGCCCACATTAAACATTATCTGCTGGCTGCAATACCCCACAAGTCAATTGTCTTAAACATCTTATTCCAGTATCATAACTAGAGGCATATTCAAATGTAAAACACCCATGCAAAAGACACGGAAAGGACAGGTTTTAATTGAATATTTATTTGACACCAAAAACTACCCACCTATTAAAAGCCTATTGAAACCAAAGTAATCCTTTCACAAGACACAAACACTTCACTTTACACAGCACTGGGGAAGAACAGCAGGGGAGCTATACGGGCTGGGGCTAGGAAGACATGGTGACCGTTCTACCCGCGCGGGCAATCTACTCGGAATGAGCCACTGAGCCGCTTGCTCGCTGGTTGCTCTTGCTGGTTGCTACGCTGGTTGCGCGACGGAGATGGTTGCGTGGTTGCTGCAGCAAGTGGTGGGGAGTACCTCGCCACGACGTATCTGTAATCTTTATCTCACTTTTTAATTCCTGGCATACCTTTCCCCTCAAAGGTTCCGGTGGCCATATGACTCAATCCTGAATGTATCAATTAATAACGATTCGTATTCGGTAGGGTTTCTTAAAAAAAAAATATAAATTCATGCAGGGTACCTTCTAAAAAGTCTTAATTTCAAGTGTTAAGGTTCCATTTAAATTCAAGCAAGCTAACATATGTGATTGGATCTACAGAAATAGTTTGATGAATGCCACTACTAAGACTAGCTTATTGGTCTTCTCTCCACCTGTTAATCCCCTCTTTTGCTGCAAATCTTCCTCTAACATACACTAAATTGTGTATATTTGTACATATATCGTTCTCATTTGATGTGCGTAAGAGAAGTAAATTCTTAAAAGTTAAAATTTACTGTTTTATATAAGTTACTGTTGTGCAATGTATTGGACAAATTGAAAGATTAAAAACTACACAAGGAAGTGACTATGCGTTTGTGTCTCAAAAATATTCTAGTTATGTCAAGATTAAGATTTTCTTTTGGTCACGATACACGCCACACAGACACACCGGACACGATACTATCAGTTGGGTTGGTGTCAATGTACTCATTAGGCCCGGGTCCGACAGTCCGATTAGTCATAGAATACAACCATGGATAAACTGATATAATTATAATAATGTGTCTCGGCCAGTTTCCTTTAATAAGATATAGTAATCAATATTCATATTGATACTACTAAATTATCAAATTTGGCATTTGTCAGTATTTGTATATACCTCTCTAATTAATTTTTTGAAGTTTTTAAACTGATTTTTGACCGTCTAATATTTTTTTTGGATAAATTTGTGAACACTAGGTATGTCTAGTCGTTAGTTTCATATGTATCATTATCTTTCTATGCTGCGTATTTATTAATGCGTTGGAAGAACGTAACTTAATTGGTAAATTCCAGAGCTAGACTCAGTTTTATCTATATCGAGACAACTGAAACCCTTGATTTATCATGATTTCAATTTAAAGCTGTCGAAATATCAAGGTAAGATACCTATGAATCGTACACCACACTACACGCTAATCAAAGCTTAACATGTATGGGAACTGTTTTTGTTTATGAGGATTAGATTAAGGTATATGCAATCTTAAAATGCTATGGGAAGGGAGGGAAACAGGTCTGGGACGTAAGAAGAGGTGAAAGAAATAATAAAGGAAGGCGAGCAGTGTGGAGTTTGGGAATGGATTAATGTATCTGCAATACTAAGACTGCTTTCATAGTAAACTTATTATTTTCCTCGAGCAAAGCTCGGTCCCCACGTACTAATTATAACAGTTGTATGCCATTTTATTTTCACTGGTTGAAATGTGGTCGTGTTTAATCTTTCTCGGTGGCAGGAAACGAGGTGTGTACAAACATGATTACTCAGCTAGTGTAAGATTTCACAAAGAATGAGTCTATACGTCGACACACTAAAGCCTAACCTTGCAATCGGATTGTTTATATCCCCGTATCAGCGCCATGTGATACTGCGTTTCCTCGGCCCACTGTATAGTGTTGCAATGTTCACCAGTCAAATAGTCATTTCTTGGTACTGATTAAGGTGTTAATATGTCAGTCATATATGAAACAAACTCTCTTACAGATTTGTCAACATAATAGTTCACAATAATAAGGTTTCATTGGAATTATGTATTATATAACTGCAACTATTTAGTTATTGCATAATTAAAAGTATATACTTACTTACTCCTGTGGCCACTCAAATCCAAGAAGATTTTTGGACTCGCCAACAAGGTGCCTCCATCCTTCTCTTTCTTCTGCGTCGTCCACCATTGCCCCCGGTCTTCTGACGTTATACAGGGTGAGTCAGTGAAACGGGCTATTTTCTTATAACGTTAGTGAGTAGAGGGGAAGAAGGAAAGGGGCCGAGTAAGTTACCCTGCGTTCCCAACCTCTGGAAGTTTAGTTGCCATACAGCTTTAGCGTTGGTCACAGCGGGGTTTTGCCGTCAAGGCATTTGATCAAAACAGTGAAAGTTCTGTGCGTACACCACATCGGGCCTTGCGCATTCATTTTGGTCTGCCCCCTCAAGTTTCATCGAGACATGCAACTCAGGGCTGAAACTTGGAAGAAACTAGACAAATCACAAAAAGAAGAGGTGGGAGTACCAGAAGTGTTTGGACACCCGAAACATTTGAATCAGTTAAACGATTGCCAGAAGTCCCTGTGGATCTGACCGACAGCTTAGAAAAGCAATTGGACTTTCTGCGCCAACAGTGAGGCGAATTTTGCATTAAGATCTTAACATGAATCCGTACAAAATTCAGGTTGTGCAAGCCTAGAATATGGGTGATTTTCGATCTCACATTAATTTTTGTGAGCATATGCTTCAGCTAATGGAAGATGACCCAGAGCTAATTCACAACCTATGGATGAGCGATGAGGCTCACTTTCGGGATGTGTCAATAAGCAACTTTTTTATATTGGTCGGTCCACAAGCACTTCACGAATGGAAAGTTCACTCTAATAAAGCTACGGTTTGGTGTGCCGTTTCTTCCCTTGACATGAAATGGGGATATTGCCTGGTCAAAGTTTAAGGAGTTGATTCTGATATTATTTTCAAGACTTGATGCTTGTTTTGTTGGTTCAACACAAACTTCCACTCATTTACTATGTTTTTTAATGAATACATCGATGTTATGATTTTTGACCTATTTTTAATACTTACCGAAAAATGGCCCGTTTCACTTACTCACCCTGTATTATAAATAAATAACGCAACTTCGTTTCTATAACAGTACAGATAAGTTTATGCAAAAAATTAAAGATATTTCCTTATTTGCCATCCTTATAGAAGAGCTGAGTCCAGTTAAGTAGAAGTGTCCGGTTTAGAATGCATTTAAAAATGTTCTATTGAAGCAATTTACTGTCATTTCGCCAGCTTGTGAAGACTGTGTTTATGAAAAAAGCGGTATACACAAACTCTTTTACTTTTGTTATTATAACTAAATAGTAAATCTGATACAGTAAAATTCACCCTAAAATAATTTAGTTCAATACCAGGCTATCAAAATTCAACTTGAGAATGAACCTTGTTCAAAACTATTGGTCACCATTCACCAACCAAACCAAAGTCACCTTGAGTTTAAGATTTTTCAGTTCATTTATTGAAAAGGGGTTCCAGACACTAACACCTGGGTAGATAAATGGTACTGTGTAAAATGCTCCAAACGAAATACGAATGAATGTAATCGCACACCCGGGCACATCTCACTTTTCATATAAATAGAGTACTAAATCTATAAGATACAGGAGGACGGTTAGCTTCCACGAAGAAGCCTATGGGATCCTCACCAGTAAACTTTGTCTTTGGGAGCTAGCTACGATGTTGAACTGCCGAAAATACTCGTCTACGTGTGGATGCATTGCAATAGGCCTACATCTTTGGGGCAAACTACTATTCAACTGGTAGCTTCATTTGACTCGTAGCTTGTTCCGGAGATGGCCGAAACGTCCGTCGGTGCTTCGCCACATCAACTTTAACTACTCGGACATCTACGGGAGACCAAGTTTCTTCTCACTAAATACTCTTGCAGCTCGTATATTGTGGACGATTATTTTACAACACAATGGTCGGTTCACACCTGTCACCTCGACTTATGATTCATACGTAGATTCCGTTATCGCGCGTCGATCTATTCAAAGTACGTGTCAGTAATGAGTGATGCTCCTGCATGCTAGATCCTCCAGGCAGGTTACATAATACAACATGTGGCTGGGGATTGCGTACTTGCGTAGGAGTTAACAAACAGGTCTACAAATGCATGTGATCACGATATTGTGCTGTCTGCTACTGCACGTACTGTATTCTGTCAACATCTTTACGCACGGATGGTGCGAATTCTAACCTTAGTGAAAAAATATCTAGGCATATGATTTTTTCCAAACATAAATATAGTAGTTCTGTTGACTCCAACTTCCCCCATAACCATAGAATTCAGCTGTCGGCAGTGATCTAAACACTTACGCTAATACTATGACATTTAGGCACACAAAAAAAAATCACTTGGATATGAAACACACACATAAAAATAGAGTTTATGATTGACAATTGGTTGATATTACACTTGCCATATCCAAAGTTATCTGCCAATTCTTACATTTCGGTAATTAATTAATCCTACTACTCATCACTTCTCACTTGTGATGTGCGATTTGCTCCTCTGATTCAGAAAATGTAGTGTTTTCGAGGGTAATTCCAAATATTTCACCCAAGAGGTTTAGGGTACTGTAGTAGTATGAGTACCGGATATCACTCTGAATATGACTACTTGCAACGTGAACGTGACAAAATATCTTCACACCACGTATGCACCTTATCAGTATGGGACTTTGGGAGTGCCCCTGAACATCAGGTAAAATGCATAGGCAAAGTAGGCTACTTGTGGTTCAGAGGCACGCCCATATTGCTAATAGTATAGTTGTAGCACGGTTCTTCTCTGAAGACCACGACGACCTTAGTAAAAATAAATCATCACTTGCGCGCCGGTCCGATCCCGAGAAAAGTCATAAGCTTTTTATTGGTATGTGATTGTATTTAGTTGTACTTGTTTATTGGCTCCTAGCTTAATAATATTTCCAGGCCATATAACCAACTGATCTTAGTCAGTAACAACGCGTCTTATAGAAGCTATGTGCGAATTAAAAGGTCAATACGGTTCGAAAAATTGCCACAAATAAAAAAGCTTTACACGTTTTATTGAACATGATATCGGCGAGAGCGGTACTGTAGCCTACGTTACATCACGTCGGCCATCGTGGCTAGACTTTTTTGTCTGTCTAATTTTCTTGTCGTTTTTAATTTGGCTGTGGCAAAGAGTACACAAGATGGTGCCCATACTAAATATGGTGTCTGCTCCTTTATTCTGTGGTATCGACTGTGATTGCATCGCACCGTGGTCGTGCATCTTGCAGTAGACCCAGGAACCATCGTCTGGTCAACTATCGGCCACTCTCAGAACGGGTTTACACCATCAACTGAAGTCTGGCAGTTGTGAAAACATCGTCCGGTGTACTACTCGTCGTGGAAACATTCGTCACTTAGCGCTAATTTACATGTAAGATTGCCACTTGCTCGGGAGGAAGTAAATTGATTGTTTTTAGAGGTGTTTACCCCGTTTGTTAGCCTGTTCTTGTTGTAGGAACACCAACTGTTGTATGGTTAAAAAATGTCAACTATCGTACCTTTCAATTTCGTTACTGTAATATATTTCGTTTTAATATGACATTATATCTATGAGTAAGTGTATGTAAAAAATATATTGGTATATTGTATTTTGTTTTGATTTATAGTCTCTAAACGCGTCGGAACAAACATTGGTACCTATTGGGATTTCCGGATTTGCATTTATTTTTACATGTTTAGTGACATTTTTTAAGATATCTATTTTGCCCTATTTCTTGACAAAATTTGTTAAAAAAAACTTCTGCACCAAGCCACAGATAATATAACCATTATCTGTGACCAAGCCCTACTTTATATATGAACTGACTAATCACCTATGCCAAGATCACCGAATCTTCAGGGACGACAAAAAAAATCATTATTTTATCCTCCCACACAAAGGAACGTTCCTGCACGAAACGTCCTGGCATGAAAACTGTTTTCAACTACGCTAATTTCAAAAATGTTGTTCCGTTCTGTGGGGGGGGGGGGGGTATTCTATACTCATGACTCCTGGGAGGATGCCCAACAGATCCCTGGGAAAGCCCACAGAAGCAGTCCAAGGTGTTATTCACCTTAAACCCCGGCCTATTTGTAGCACTTGTCTGAAACAATCATGTACCGTACTCCTCCAACAATTTGTGTACAGTACCTCGTAACTTTATTTTTTTAAGTGTTTGTCAATAAAACTATCATGTCCCTAGCAAACCATCCTGAATTAGTTCAGTTTAAAGATTTTTATATTCCCCTTGTTAATTGAATAGTGACAACAGAAATCAGTTTTGTTGGATTTAAATTACATCCCCACATTTTAGGTCTCGTTGGTTAAATAGTTAGATACCTAGAGAGTTGATACATTTTTGAACAAATAAAATGTCTAAGTTCAACGGTAAAACCTTTCCAAGCGGATGATGTTGTACATAGTTTGACACACCTTGTAATGTTTGTTACTTGGATAACCAGAGTTATTTCATTTTCCTTACTTCTATACACCGTATGTAGATTCACTGCAGTATGCTATGGTGGTATGATAGTGCATCACTGTGCAATATGCAAGGCTCTATTGACATGATATGAGGGGAGAGATGACCCTCACCTTGGATAGGACAATTACATTATCTTCTGCCAACCACCAACACTTAACAAAACAGTCAAAGTCAATGTCATTTAAATAATATGCCTGTTTAATGTTGTAAAAATATACTCTGACACCTTCGATAATCCTACCATATTTAGTGTCAAGGCCTGAAATCTGAAGGGAATAACTTACGGTAATTGGTACATTTTAAATAATGATTAATTGTTCTTTTAAAACTTAGTATTGATATGAAAAAAATAATCAAATCGAATAATACACCTTTCATCTTTAAATTTAAAAAAAATCTTCCGGTGGGGGGGGGGGATAACTGATACTGTAAATGCTAGGAGATCTCCCCTTTGGTGTACAGTCCTAGAATGCTTTCAAGCTTTGTACTATATGAGCAAATTAATTTTTAAGTTAAAGTGTACATAACTAAAATTGGTTGACTATTGTTTTGATTATTATAGGTGATTTTGGAATTATTTCTGGGAATCCCAAAGAGTTTTGTAATTCAAAAACTTCCTGGTCATGCATTGTCAAATTATTAAGAGCCAACTTTAATCACATACGTTTTTAAACTGTTTAGTCGCGTTGATATCAAAACCTTTGTGATATGGTTTAGTATCTACTCAATTGGTAGACCTAAAACTTATTGTTACATAGCAATTCTGGTTGGTTATTGGAGGCATTAGAACCTGTATTTGCTCAATCCTAAATAACAAGACAAAAATGCCTCTGTCCTACACAATGTGAGAACACAAAGTATGTTACAAATTGTGAAGATTATTTAAACTAACAGTGGTCAATACCAAAACCAATAACCCCCATTGTAGTTGTCACATCTATATATCTAATTCCGTAAGCCCAAAATTTTACAATGAAATTGTGAGCGAACCGGAGGGCGTAGAAAGCTGGGAGGGGTCTCATTTTAAAGGTCTGGGCATGAAATTTTGGGGAAAATTATTCATTTTTCTTAATTATGCACCAAAAGGTTGTGACAGAATAAAATAATTCACATTTAAATAACATGGGAATCTAGGTCATGTTTGCTTTGTTTACATTAAAACATGTGGTTTAACTTTATTTAAAGCATATGGTAATATGTAATATGCACTGTAATATGTATACTAACCCTTAAGAGAGGTTGAACCTACCAATTGACTATATTAATTTAATTGCACGATCTGGAATGCCACCACACAAATTAGTTTTAAAAGTTGGTTCAATAGTGATGCTCATTAGAAATATGAAGTTAGGGTCTGGATTAGTTAATGGAGTACGATTGGTTGTGTTAGGTATTACTGGAAAAAGTGTAAAGTTAGTAGTAATTACTGGAGTAGGCAAAGGAAACGTATTTTCCATGCCAAAAATAATACTAATATCCACAGATCCTAATATGCCGTTTAAGTTTACAAGGAAAATTTTCACAAAAATTGGCATTTATTTGAAAAATTTATCTCCATGTATTTTATCTAAGTGAATTTGTCTATATTCAAAGAAATGTATATACATTTAATTAATAGTCATGAAGATTATCATTGAAAATTATCCTTAGTTGTATTATGATTAGAAAGTTTATACTATAAACACACCGCATGAAAAATCCTTTGTAATTTTTATTTTTAACAGAGCAGACCTCAAAATGCATTATGCAGGTATGTAATAACTATTATACATATTATAATATACAATAATGTTAAATGATAATCAAGGTAGGGTAACCCATGGGACTAATAATTTGTACAAAATAATTACTACAATATATACATAGGGGCTACTGCCCCTACAAGCCACTAGTTGTGCATATTTCTGCTTCAATAAGTCTCTAAGCTGTAGCAGTCAATCACTACTCATGCAAGTAATTTTATCTTATATTTATGGACATTTTTGTCATTGTTAACACCTACACTATTGCGTCTACATGGAGCATGTACATTGGTATTTTTCTGTTACAGAAAGCTGGGACTGGACCTTGTACCAAGATGTGGTGCAGAGATGGTGGACCCAAGCTCCATGAGCATTGTGCAGCTATATCAAGTGGTGAGACGTATATAAATGCTGACAATTTGAACTAAAATGTGTTCACCTTTATACTTAATAAATAAATATTCTAATTTATGCTCACAGGGCTTACACATACATGCCATTTTTTATTTGGAAGTAAAAATTCACTTCCCATATTTAAGTTGTAGCCAGTTTTAGAATGAAATTAACGTTGTGCTATTGTGCTACCGACCCAAAATTGATAAATTTTGTAAAGATATATCTCTAAAAAACTACTGTACTTAGCAGATTAGTGAAGATAAATAACTAATTGTGAACAGACAAATCCAATCATAGGTGATCCAATAGTTTAAAACTCACCACACCTATGTGAAAATGTTGGTTTTAAGGATATATTTTTTTATTCTTATTTTATTGACCCACACATTGACTATTTAATTTATGATTGATTTCACAAACATTACGATTATGAACAAATCTGGATTGAATTAGTTTACTTTGTTTTCTTTCTGTTTTAGCACATGCAGAGCTCAGAAAACTCAGGAGGAGTTACTGTGAGTAAATTAGTTATCATAAAATGAACTATCATCAAGGCTTCTCATAGGTTCATTGCACATTTAGTAATAGGTTTTCCGTAACTTCTTAAATGATGAGTCTACATGATTGAGTTAAAAAAATCATTGTTTTAAAGATCCTTGCTGTGGTATGTTTTATTCTCAAGTTATTTTGTACAAGTAGCCTTTATCCTAGACAAACTAACATAAGCAGTCTTCTCATATCATTGTAAAATCTGAAACTTGTTTTTACAAATGCTTCATGATGGTGATGTTGAGCGCTAGTGTTACGAAAATGTTTAAAAACTTACTTTAGAGTTAATTTGAAGACTTGTGCTTTGCTGTTTGGTTATGAAACCAGCGGAAAAGCTATTGTTTATGATTAGATAATATTTTTGGTGAAACTAGTTTTTAAATGTCCAGAAAGATATTGCAAACAAAAACTCGTCCCAGCATTAACCGAACGGAACTAACATTAAAATTGTCTTCAGCTCCTCCCCATAGCCCCCATTTACGTTGCTTGCATAAGGATGGCATATGGATACTTAACTTTTTTATTATAAATTGTGTAAATTTATATTCTTTATTTTGGAAAACCTATTCATATTCAATTGGTAATTCTTAAATTGTATTATCTTTTTTACTGATTTAAACCTCTCTCATTTCAATCATAATTTAAAAACATTTTGTTAATTTGTCTGAAAATGTGATTGTTGTAACAATTTCATTTGTCAATAATGTACTACCTATACGTTCTAAAAAAATATAAAATTTTCAGGCTAGAGGCACCATGAAGAAGAAGGAGAACAGCAAAATATTGACCCATCACTTGTACCTTTGTATGAGAGACTACGGCCAGCATATGTTTGAGGATACGGAGATATACTTCTCCTTATACGATTCTGTCAAGAGTAAATATATCAGGTGAATATACAGGAGGTTGTCTGTATGAAGAGATCGACTACTTGTAAAACCACTAAAGATAAATTTTTTAGAAATTTGTGCAAAAATTTACTTGCAAAGTTGACATTTTAAGCACTTTTACAAGGAAAAAGTTGTATCTCTTGCAATCTGAATCCCTTTTCAGATTGGTGTAATTTGGAGCTGTTATTTTCCAGTTGGTTTAGCCTATGAACAAATCTGAAAGCTTGATAAAATAATTCAGAAAATACCTAAAAGAGTATTCTTAAATGTTATTACCTGTAGTGAGATACCCGTCATCACTAAAATAAAATGTGCAAAACAACCACTACAAACAAATCATTAATTGTATCAAATAAAATTAAAACAAACATTAAAATTTTTCAAAAGATTGGCATTCCAATAGTGTTTAAGATAAAGACAGAGAAATATATTGGAAAATAGGGCCCGAAAATACGGCTACGATCATATCACTCAACGTTCATGCCAACACAGGGCACAGGCAAAAACCTCTCGCGGGCCAGGACCGGCCTGTGGGTCGTAGTTTGGAGACCCCTGACTCAAATACTGTATGCTCAAGTACTACTTGATGTGACAGTACAAAGCTTACTTTATCAGATATTATTTGATTTACCGAACTGATACGTTTAAACCGAGTTCCACCTTCCGTTGGTACATAGAGAAAAATTTTAGACCTGGAATTCACTTTTACTTTTGGTGGTAAAGATAAATTTTAAATCCTCTTATTAACTGAAATTTTAGTCACATAGGCTATATTGTGTTATATACTTTAAAAGGGTAATATAGATTTGTTAAATTTGATCGATTTAGGGATGATGGTTTTTGTAATTTGAGATATTCAAGATTTTAATTTATCGAGGTTTAACGTTGATGAGTGGTTTACTGTGGTCTAAAATTACTCAATAATGTGCAACTCATGTTTACAATCATTTTTGTGTCCATGGTCCTTGGGCTGACATTTCTTTTGGACACATTATAAAAACTAAAAACTAAAGCAACAATATGGTTTTGAATTTGATTGAACGATCATGTAATAGCTGAATTTTCTTGACTTTTGTCTATTGCATTTGTTGTAAATGTTGAAGGACAATAAAACATTTCTGATTTGATTCTACTGATTCATTCCTAGGGTGTAATAATACTTTCAACTAGATTCAACGCCCAGTTTTATCAGTTGTTAAAGTATAGTAACCTCCATATTTGAACAGTTTATAGTATTACTACTAATCCTTCTATTTGGTAAAGTGTAAAATTGTTCTAAGCGTAAACCAACCATTTTTTTGAGTGGTTGAAAAAAAATAACTTAGTTCTCAAGTTTTAAAAATTACTAATAGTCTATTTTGATTTCAGTGAAAGGTTTCTAGTCCGAATATCAAAAGAAGGTTTTGCAAACTATGTGGAGAAGCTGAGTAGCAATTGTACAATATTTACAGTAAGTAGATTTGAAATTTGTTCTATTTCCCGATGCAAGAGATATAGCAAGAGATAAGGCAAATACACTTTGTTGAGTATATTTTCTTATAATAACAATTTTAAGTTTTTTCCACTGGGATGACATTAACGGATAACCTTAATTTTTTCTCCATTCCATGGAATATAAAATGGTCTTTGTAGATAACACTTTTTGACCATTTAACAGTCACTTCTTATACTGTATTTATTATAAACGAGAGCTCTTTCTTTATTTTTCTTACAGTGATTTAAAGAACATCATTTTTCTTTTCTGTCTCCTCACCCTGTTTCAATTGCTGGTATATCAGCTAGTTATTAATAATTTAATGAATTATTTTGTCTTTTTTCAGGACTTGGGAAATGGGGACCTTACCAAAAATGTGTATGTCATTGCCCATATTTTGAGGATAGGCAAAATGCTCTACTCATCAAATCAAATATCAAATAAGAAAGGTGAGTGAGATCTATAAGTTAAAGCTGATTGTTGTTTTAGATCAGACATAATCCTAATTGTAGCAATTTATACTTTAAACAATTGTGTGTGATCATTTTGCAAAATGTGATGCTTCAGTTACTAGGTGCTGGTTCCACCCCAGTTTAGTTAAGGGGGTTCATTAGTTAATGAACATATAACACGTGTTCATTCAATATTTTAAAACCCTTCAAGAGGGTGGTGAGGTAGCCTTACTTCTTATCCTCTGACGCTCAAATAGTTACTTAAATCTGGTGTTGCACATCCTTATAAACAAAAGCCAATTTATAGAACATAAGCTAACATAGGCTATGAACGAAAGTAACAAAAGCCAATTTATAGAAAGGACCCAATCTCTGGGCCCACGTTAGCTTGTCCATAACTATAACTGACAACTTATCTTGTTCTTGGTCCATAGCCAGTACATCCTCCCAGAGTGGAAACTTCAGTTTTAAGAGGCCGCACGGAGTGGCTGTTCTGAACATAGAGGAGATGTTGACCTCCGGAGGTGAAGAGAAGGAGTTTATGTTCAAAGTCTATCAGGGGGAGGAGAAGGACTTCCATCAACTGCACGATTTTATAATTAAAAAACAAAACAATAAGTTTAGTCAAATTTCTAGTCATTATGGTAAGTACAATTAAACTAATTAGGATAATAGCTAATAATATTTGGTATACTGCGATTCAACGTTATTAAATAATTCAAAACGTTAGCTCGACCAAAGTAACAAAATTATTACAGTAGCTACAAATTTACTATGAAACTAGTTTTACAACCCTGGAACTTTGACAACTTACCTCTAGGTTTCTTTAGGAATTTTATCTTTCTTATATTCAATTTATCGATGGTTTCATTTGGATACAAGTAAAAAATACCTTTAAAAAATATTGTATTTCCAGATCAATATCTATTGTATTGAATAAAATAACCTTGTCTTTCTAATTTCAAATGAGTCAGTTTGTGCATAGTCAAACAATACAATTTTATTTGAATATATTTTTAAAAGTTTGCCATCAACTTGTACTTTAACAACTACACAATTGTTGGCTGTAGTATGTAATAGCTTGTTTACATAGAAATCTTCTGACAACTCGTTTTATAACTGTTTTGATAATAGTTTACCAATACATTTGATATTTTTTATTTCATTGTTGTTTTTACAATAAAAAAAAGGTATTTCTGTTGATATTGTTAAACCAGTTCAATGCAATTTAAAGTTTTTATGACTTATTGAATTTAAACTTAAGCCATAATTTTGTTAAACCACTGACTATGTCACTATTGTTGAGAAAATGTATGTTCTATTGTTTAAATTTGTAAGCTGCTTTGAAATGTTACTCGCAAGCAATTTAACAATTAATTATATAATCAACACAATTTAGAATAATCCGTTATATAATAATAAAGTATTAAAGTATCTATAGTCATATAACTGGTGTTTAAAAAAAACTTTTAATCAAGTATATTTTTTACGACTTTCTTGAGGTAAACAAACAGTAGGATAATGCTCTTATAATATTTTACTTGTATTTTATTCCAGGAATAGCTTTATCAATGAGAATTTTACATGGAGAGCTGAATAAAGTGAGGGAAGAAAACCCGCTGTTATTCAAGAGCATATCTTTAACAAGAAAGTTGGGTTTCTCGGATGTTATCATGCCAGGGGATGTCAGGTGAGAGAAATAAGAAGAACTGTCAAAGTTTTTTTTACGATTTTGTTAAATATGAAAGTTTTATGTCATCTATCAGGATTCTCCTTTAAAGGTCCTACAAAGATAAATGCTCTTATAACCTCTAAACTGGGCCAAAACAAACCGTATTATACACTAACGTGACTTTCTAATCTTAAAATCTTAACTGTAAAACAATCAAAGTAGTTTTTCTGTATTTAATCACCTTTGGTACACTTTTCTTATGTCAAAATCTGGCAGTATTGTCAAAAACACAAAAAAGAATGATGAAATAGTCATCAAAGAAAAACACAGATCTACTTAACTATGGATGGAAAGGGATAACGTTTTTAACCTATGGAAATAGCAATCCCGCCGAGTTTCGTTCTTATTTACGAAAGATATACTTTAAAACCTTGTTTATAAGGCAATTAAATTAACTGTGAGTATTTAACAGGAATGACCTTTACATGACGCTTGAGAAAGGAGAGTTTGAGAGAGGGGGGAAGACTACTGGCAAGAATATTGAAGTTACTGTGCTGGTGTTGGACAATGAAGGGAAGCTGCTTCAGGTATTTATGTTACAAATGTCAACATTTAATATGAAACACCTCAGTTGTGTCATCAGAATAAGTTACAATTTTATAGGGCTTTATTCCCTGCTTGTCGTGTAAAAGGGGACCACAACTGTAATTTGCTTCCGTTTTGTTTGGGGCTATTACTGTCCAGGGATTTAGATTTAGTTGCAGCAGTTTTGGGTGTGTTCAAAATTCTCAAGATTTTGATAGCCACTCAGGAAAATGTCTTGCTGTATTTTCACCTGTGATGCATATTTTCACAGCCTCCTCTATAATACAAGGCCTCTTCGTCGGTGTGTATCAACTTCACTAGTAATAACAAATGCTCTGCTATAAACTAGTGCAACAGCTGTTACGGTTTGCCAGGACACTGGTGTTGCCACTTTTGTCTCCCCGTTGCCTTGTATTGTAGGAGGCTATGGTTTTTTACTTGTTGTGCTCTTATCTATGAAGGGTTTTGTATTGACACAGGAATGCCTCTGGGGAGCATCAGGGATGGAAGGCAGCTCAGACTACCAGTCCATGATAGTGTACCATGACAACGCTCCTTGCTGGGCTGAGACTATCAGACTGACTGTACCCATAGACAAGTACGCTACAGCCCATGTTAGACTCGAGTACAAACACTGCTCTAGTAAGTACAGTCGTCTTGAAAATTTGTACAGAAAATAGTAAAAAAATGAGAACATGCAGGCTTAATTTACTTAACAATCCTCTTGGTAGAGAAAGACTAGTTTTGCTACAAAATTAATTTTTTTGAATATCGAGATTGGGGATACCAGTACAGTTGTACTTTGTGGTTGGTTGGGGGTGCAGTACAGTTGTATTTTGTAGCCTAATATTTTTTGAGAAGCTGCTACTTTAAGGGAAAGCTACCTTGTAGAAGCGGCTTTTTTAAATTTATAACCCCAAAAATTTTGATAACCTTCAAAACATGTTTCACACAAAAGTTTGTTATCATTGTATTCATGTTTTCCAGCAAAAGACAAACCTGACAACAAGAAATTGTTTGGCTTCTCGTTTGCTCGGCTAATGGAACCAAGTGGTGCAACTTTGCAGGTAAAATATCATTTGAGTCTTAATCTTTCTTATCTGGTTTTATGATTTACACTTCTGCCCATTGTTAAAGCTGTGTCTCTGTGGTATTCTGTCTAGGAGTTTAAGCTCTAAGTCAACTCATCCTATACATGGGGTGAGTTCGGGGAAGAAGCTAGTTTAAAATATTTTAAACTTCCAAAGGACCCCAAAAGTGTACAGTCTTTGTGTATATTTGTAAATATTGTGGAGAGTCCTCATTGTTTTGAGAACTTGAGGAATCATGCAAGGTCATTTAGACTAGACTTATTTAAATAGATTTGAGAACAAATAAAATGAAAATGTTAGGCTTTTTAAACTTGGTAAATATTTTTATGTTGAAAAAATACATAGGGATGGGCTGTCAACCTTGATGTAACGAATCTCCAGATCACCTGAACTCAATGTAAAGAACCTCATTGAAACGTAATACTCAATGTAACAAATTGTTGGTTGCATCTAAATTGGGATTCTTTATATCTATATTGCACTGTACTGAGAGTCAACTGGGTCTGTATGATCGCAGGACGGAGGCCACAGGATGTTAGTGTACAGATGTGGTGAGACAGCCAAGCTACACCCTGACCAGTACCTGGGACTGCCAGCCACCACTAGGGATCTGCAGGATAACAATGCCACGTCTACGATGTACGCGCGGAGCAACAAGGAGTGTGTCAGCATACGCACCTTGTTGTGCTCCACCAAACTGACTCAGAACGGTACGAAACCATTCCATCCACAGTTTTTGAATAAAAATATGTGTAGTTGAATACTTTTTTTTATACTTTTCATTGAAATGGTGACCATACAAAGAAGGTATTTTAAGCCAGGTATGAATGGAGATGAGTGTACTATGAGTGGCGCGATCTTCTAGTCTTGTTAGTGACTAAGGCCGACATGAAAAATGTATCAGTCTAAAACATTAGTCTTACTAATTTAGTATCAAGTTACAATTTTTCAGACTTGTTTTTAGAATGATTTTGGAGTGACTTGTTTTGGCTATGTTTACTGTAGTAAAACATGTCTCAAACTGCGTACACTCATCAAAACTTCTCATCATTTGCAATTTCAAAACAAAATATTATAAAACAATTAAAGCAATATTTACAAGAACACCTTCACAAAGGAAACGTAACAACAGCTCGCTCCTGTATTGCGGGTATTGCATTGACTTTCTGCAGGCGTTTTTCGTATATGGATACTGACTCCCTCATGAATCGAATCGGTTTTTGACCACCACTGAATTGAATCGCGATTCGATGCATCAAATCGAATAGAATCGGAATTTCGATGCATTTTTGATGCATTGCACACCCCTATTACTTATGTTAAACTACTTTTCAGTTGACTTGCTGTCGCTGCTGCAGTGGAAGACTCACCCTGAGCAAATCAAAGTAGCCTTGGAGAGAGTGCTGATTCTGAATGGCGAAGAACTTGTCAAGTTTTTACAAGATGTTTTAGATGCGTTATTTTCAATATTTTCAACTGAAGACGGAAACTCCAATGACCATTCTGGACCTGTCTTTCATGTGTTGGTAAGTTTTCTTTTAAGAATATAGATACTTGTATCTATTTTAACTGTATATACAGTTGTTGTTGCAGGAAAATAAAAAATAAATTAGAATGTTTTAAATAAAATACTTAAACAAATACAAACAGTTATAAAAATTTATACTCTCTAATTAGTTAATGGTTATAGGTGAGTATTTTGAGTCTACTAGATGATCCCAAGTTTGAACACTTCAAGCCAGTGATGGATGCCTATATTGAGGGACATTTTGCTGCTGCTCTGGTGTACAAGTGAGTTGTAATTTCTTAAATTTTCTATAAATATAGCATACATAAAGCAAAAATGTTCTGTTTGTTACTAATTAATTTAACATTACCTGTGTGTGAGGTTGAGTGAAAAAATTAAATGAAAGTACAGTTCTAGAGTTGACTTAGATTGGTAGAAAGGAGTTAATGATTCCAGTTAAAAGTAAAACCATAAATAACTAATTAATGACGCTAATTAACAAAAAGTTTTTGTTAGATAGTAACAAAGCCAAGACTGCTCTCATACAAAAAATTTAAAAAATGCCAATGGCCTAGCTGAGTGATTATAGTGCTTGACCATCCAGGAATCAGAAGGTCGTCGGTTTGATTCTGTGAAAAGTCAGTAGCTTTAAGAGGGTTTGAACTGGATCCAGCTGTCCTTGATCATTGAGCTTTTAAGTTCTGGCTAAAGAAGTGGATGATCTTGATCTTGGTCAGTAACAAAGCTACTCAAGCCATGGCATTCCATTCTACACCCATCCTTCACATATTTGGGCTATACTTTGCCCAGTTGGTAATGGCATCTATGTTCACAGGGGTCTACTGACTAGCGTGAAGCATTGTGCCACATGGGTGAGGGCGACCCATGAGCAGGAGGCTATACAGAAGTGTTTCCGCTCCCTGGAGTACATGTTCAAATTCATCATTGAATCGAGGTTCCTGTTTGCTCGAGCCATGGGCAACCAGTTTGAAGATAGCTTCAAGCGGGACTTGCTGGGTGTCATGGCGGCACTGAATGGCATGCTGGTCCGCACCTACGACGTCATCTTGCCCACACAGGTGACGTATTATTTGGGATTCCAAAAGTTAAATTAATAAGAATATATCAGAACAAACTGTTTTATTAAATACATTTTTGCTTCAGTATGATACTTGCTTAGACCTAAAATTTAGCTTAAATTATCAGTTGTTAGGTGGGAATTCCAAACGATTTTTGGGTTGGTGTGAACAGAACAATTTTTTTTTATGTGTTTCAATCATACTACAGGATTCATACTACTGGAGTACTTTTCGGTTCCTACTTTCTACAAAGGATATTCTTTGATTCATACGAGATCACCGTAATCCTCCAAATTTGCTCTTTCCGTTCACAAATCTTTTGTTTCTTCACATATTGTGGTTATATTTGAGTTTTATACAAATAAAAATTTGAATGGACACTTTTTCATTAACACAAGGTCACAAATAAGTAAATAAGTGACAAATAAATGTATTAAACCGTAAATATGAAGCACAAACTTTTAAGAACCATAAATTGGTTCAGAGGGGTAATTTTTTAACACACTTTTAAAATTCCTCTAAACTTGCACTGAGTTTTTAAAGAGGACAACACAATCAATATTAGTCCTAAAGCTATAATATTTACAGCTAAGAAGGTGGAAAGTCTTTTCACACATTAATGTTTGAGTGTACTGTTTACAGATAGCTCTGCTACACAGTATCTCTGCAGTGTATGATCAGCTGACTAGAGTGTTGGCCCTCACTGATGTGGCCATGCTGGCTGCGGAGATGTTGGACAGTCTGCCTACTCGCACTACAGAGCTGCCTGCACAACTGACGCAGGCCAAGTTGGTTGCTATACGTAACCTGGTTACTGGCAAGCTGTTCAAGCAAGATGATGGTATGTTGGTGTATCTTTTATTCTGTGAGCTGGACTTTGTTTCTTAGGTTGGGGTCAGGTCGGGTCAAAAATTTTGGATTTCAGTGCTCAGGCCATAATCGGGTTGGGGTTAAAATCAGGTTGCTTTGGAAATCGTAATATTACAATCGGGCTATACAATATTGTACATTATGTTCTCCCCCATATTGCAGTGAAATACTGAACATCTTCTGCAGTCATAGCAAAATCTTGATCAATTTTCCTAGGCCACGGTAAGATTGTGAACATTTGCCCCGGTCACCGCTAATTTGAGGACATTTTCCATGTTCACAGTACTTCTGCGAACATCTTTTGAGGTGACCGCAAAATCAAGAACATCTTAAGCGGTAATGGCAAAATAGAGAAAATCTTCTGTTATGATATGATATAATATATTCTGTTGATATGATATAATATATTCTGTTCTGTGATCTTGAGAGCATCTTCCGTGGTTTTGGATAAATCGTGAACGTCTTCTGTCATTTCAAGAATTTGTTTGCTAGCTATTTATTTTCTCAAGTACATTTACTATTTACAAATTCTAATCGCTTAATAAATGGTATTGCAAATAGACTAATTGTAAATTGGATGTCAACCAACATCCAGTATGTATTACATAAGTATAATTAAGTCTACATAACTTATTACAAGTACCTGGTTTTGCAGAGGCAAGATATTTGCTGCTGAACACTTGCTGCAAACACCTGCGTATGCATCTGGCTCACAGGGACGAGCTGAGACTGTGCTCTGAGATATTGTCGGAGATTCTGTCCTACATCTTCCAACAACAGAGGCTGGAGCAGGTCAATGGCAAGGTGAGCAGAGAATCACTGTCGGACTGTAGAGAGTTGAAACCAAGGTACCTACACTTGTTAGTTACCATGGCGCTCAGAGAGGAATTTCTACAGTCATGTTACCCAGGGAAATAAAATACTTGGGCATGCACTTAGATGCAAAGCTTAATTGGAAGGCACATATCTGGACTAAAAGACAACATCTAAATTTAAAAACAACTAAACTTAATTGGCTTCTTGGATCTAAATCAAAACTTAGTACACAAAATAAATTGTTACTGTACAAAACAATTATAAAATCAATTTGGACTTATGGTATTCAGCTTTGGGGATCAGCAAGTACCTCAAACATTGAAATTATTCAACGTTACCAATCAAAATTATTACGTAAAATTGTCAACGCACCTTGGTTTGTTACCAACAGAACACTTCATAATGATCTTCAAATTCGAACAGTCAAAGAAGATATTACAAAATCTAGTGAAAAATATATTATCAAATTGGAAAATCATTCAAATCATCTTGCACTTAATTTATTGGACAATCACAACACCATTTACAGACTGAAGCGACATACGATATTGGACCTACCATTCAGATTCGGCTAAGTGTTATCAAAATTCTCTTTGTTAGCTAGTGTTGACAGTGGTCAATCACTAGCTCATGTTCTTCAAGTTGTTATTGTATTACTATTTATATCATTTGCTTATTGTTCAACTTGAACAGATTGTAAATTAAATAAAGTTAAACAAAAATTTTACCCAGGCTCTTCAGATAATGTGTTGCCGTAATTTAATCAATTTATAAGAATGAATCTAAAGTTTTGTGGAGATTCAAATTTCAGAAATTCTGATTTAGTAAGTCAAATCACTGAGAAGTGTGTTAAAATTTAATAACTTTTTAGAAAAGATGTTTTTATAAATACATTTTTCTTTTCCTTAGAGTGCACTCTATTTTAGAGTTAGATTTTTTTGTGTTCCAATATTCCCTGAGATACAAGATTAACGATTGTATTTTTCAGATTAATTTTCAATATTGATCTAATTTGAGTAATGTGATTAAAGTACTTAATATTGGCTACAGTTTTGAACTGTCTTAATTTACCAAACTTACTCGAAATATGTGCCAAGGTACCATATTGTTGACTGTGATTGAATGCAAAATAAACATTACTCAAAAGAACTTTTAAAGGTAAAATATAGATGTATCAACAAATTAATTTAAGGTTGGTTACAGTTCGTTTTTCTTAGGAAGGTCAAGTGTAGATAATAGATATATGATGATATAGCATAAGAACGTAAAACGACTAATGGTTTTGTAGGTAAACAACAGTTTACACCTAGACCTGGAGATCCTTTGCAGAGATACATTGGACATGCTGATACAGACTGTGCTTATCATCATAGACAGATCCCCACCTGTGCTGGTGAGTTTGAAAAACTAGACATTCTATTCCTATGATAAAGTTACAGTTGTAGCCATTTTTAGAATCTAAATTAATGTACAATAGTTTAATTGAACCTCTGACTTAGTGTGCTTATGTAAACTAATATTTGACTATTAGGGTTCCAAAGTAACACTGTAAGAACGGTGGAAGTATGCTGGAAACTGTGATAAGATCAAGATGTGAAACTCCTGTCATGATGTGAATCAAATTCCAGTACTCTGTAACTTACTCTGTAACAGGGGTTAGTAATCAGTCATTCACCCAGTGTATCAGACTATCAAGTTTCCCAAAAACGGTAGATCAGTGGTTGCGTTCTGGGCTGAGAAGCCAGACTTTGGTTTGAGATCAGCCACATACACCTTCTTATCATTTCGATCAACACTGACTCGCTCATGTTACTTATACTATAAAGTTACTTCACTGACTTTAGTGCCTTTAGATCACTGTGTATTGTGTAGACTAGTAGTGTATGTCAGATTTACCTTTGTTGTTATTGCCTGAGTTCTTGTAGGTAAGGTGTTTGTGTCATCATATGCATTTCGCCAGCCTTGTGTGGCAGTCTCAGGGGTCTTCTTGTGATGTAATCTCATCTTGTCGCCAACCCTATAGTTTATACTTACTTACATAAATACTTACACATACACAGCCGGTAGTTGATTCTATCAGACAACGTTACGATGGACACAATGCGAGAGGTCTTTCTTCTCCCGTTTAATTTCTTGAACTGAGGGTGTTGGTATTTGGGCTGTTCGATGGTTGAAGCGTAGTTTGGACTTTCCTGGTTTAGTTGAGCAGGTGATTTGATCTCTGTAGTGTTGCTGGCTTATTTCTGTGTTTCTGCCAGACAAGGGGAGAAACGCATAGGGTGACACTAAACATCTTAGATAGAAGAACTCAGGCTACAACAACAAAGGTAAATCTAATATACTTCAAGTTCTTGTAACTGGGATGGCAAAAAAGTAGTGTATGGTGACATGCAGGGTCAATTCCCCTTTTCTTTATTCATCCTTCCAATGCAAAACTCTTTTACATGCATACTGTCTTGTCGCAGGGAGGACTGGTTGCCTGTCTGGTAGGTCTACTGCAGCTGCTGGACGAGTACCACTACAGGAAGGTGTGGGAGGAGCTGCGGGAACGCAAGCCACTCAAGGACTTCCTGCTGCGGGCGTTCCTGGTGCTGCGTATGCTGGTGCGCCAGGATGTGTTCCCACCGGACTGGCTGGTCATGAAGATGGCCGCCAATCATGTGATCCTCGGCGCACTGCAGGAACTGGCTCACCCACTAGTGCTGCGCTTCCTCGACTCACGCTGCCACTTTGACTGCCAGGTACAGTTTGTCGATGTGTTTCTCATTCATATAAACTTAGAAAAAAAATTCTCATTAAATCTATCTTTGTTACATAGAATAAGGGCAATCAGTGTCTTATTTGATTGTGGATACTGGATAGTTCGTCATCCAAAAAATGTCTAAAAATGTAAACAACTAGTAAGAAAAAAGCAAATGCAAAAAAAATGTTTTACCCTAATTAAAAAAATTGGAAATGTACAGTATTTAATACATAATATCTAATCATTACACCTGTATTTTAAAAATTTATAAATGTTTATGTATGTTTTTAAATGTTATATATGTTTATGTATGTTTTTGAATGTTATATGTTGTATTTTTACATGGATTTTTCTCGTTTCTGGGTCATCTGACCTTTCTTAGACCAGTTGAGGTTGTATAATCAAGAATCTACTGCAAAATGGGATTATTTTATATGTAACCAAAATTCCCAGATTAGAAATTAAATCAGCAAATTCCTTCTGATTCAAAACGGTCTCACTATTAATTTTCATCTATTGTTAAATGTAATTGCTTTATGGTTTGCACATTTTAAACTCTCCAACCCAAACACAACCTGGATGATTCCACAGGTATGGTCAGACTATTTCAACCTCGCTGTAGCCTTCCTTACGCAGCCATCATTGCAGTTGGAGAAGTTCAGTGAAGTCAAACGTGGGAAAATTGCCACAAAATACGGAGACATGAGGGTAAAGATGGGCTTCCAGATACTGTCTGTATGGTCAAAGCTGGGTAAGTTGTAGCAATGTGAAATTGTTCATATTTAGTAGCACATATGATGCTGGTCCATAACACATTTGTATTGTGCCACATATAGAGAGACAATTTGCGTGCTACACATAATATACAGGGTGATTGAAAAGTCCTGAAACGGTGTAATAGATTTTTACCATTATAGATTAAAAATTGAAACTTGGTATATCAATAAAAGCCATGAATGTATACTATTTTGAGCTATGATCACTTTTCTATCCCTAAAGGGGTGCGGCCCACGAGGAGTCAGACAAAATTCTTAAATAGCAGCATAGGTCAAATATGGCATCACGTTAAAGGTCTTAGTTAGCAAAACACATTGCCACAAACTCCAACTCAAAAAGTCAACTGAGTCAAAAATGAAAGCTGTTCAAAGATGCATTGAATTTGCAATGCTATTATACTCTACCTCCCAGAGGGGCGACCGCTAGAAGTTTGAAGAAAATCATAAACCTAAGCGTTGGTTGATATGCACATCAAATTAAAGGTCTTTATTATTGGTAGAATACAATACAGCAAATTTGAGCTCAATAGAACTATTGAGTAAAAAATGGCGGCCGTTCAAAGATTCAAAATGGCAGATTCAAGTAATATTTGAACAGATGCCATTTTTATTTCAATTGTCCGTTTGAGGTCGGGTTTGCGGAAATGTGTTCTTCTAACTAAGAACTTTAATTTGATACCAAACTCTACCTATGCAGCTATTAAGAGTTTTGTCTTAGTACCATTTGAATTTTGTGATTCCTCCTTGGCCGCCCCTTCAAGAGATAAAAAAGTGATAAAGGCTTACAAGAGTAGACATTTATATTATATTATATTATATTATATTTATATTATTGGTATACCTAGTCTCGTTACTTTATCTAGAGTGGTAAAAAATATATTACACCGTTTCGGGACTTTTCAATCACACTGTATGTTACATATGACTGTTGGAAAATAATAGTAAATGTAAAATGGAACCAAGAAGCGTTGAATTACTAAACCTCACTGTGCATATATGCCCGCAGATTTAAGTATTGAGACTTTGAGCTATACTGTGATCTTGTGATGTTGTTGTGTTGTGATTTGGGATGCAATTATACTCCTCAAATACCCATATTGCAGAAAACCTGAAGTCTAAGAACATTTCTATTTGATATTTAAGGTTTTATTCAAGCAGGTCAATATTGAAAGGATGATATCAACACTTATATCCAAATCCAGTATAATTAACATTAGTGGAATGAGTACATAGGGTTTCTACTTAAAAGAAAAAGATCCATCAAATTATAGCTATGTTCTATCAGATTAAGGATAAAATGGGAGATAAGGTGTATAAACCCCCCAAAACTCCTTTTCTGATGTCATATTGGGTTAGTTTGCGTATTCATTTACAAATGAACGATTACAAAGTTAACAAAATCAGACAATTTTTTTTTAATTACCGCGTTTTTGAACATGTATGTATCCATGAGTTTAAACAAATGTTTTTATTTCCAGAGGCCATAATGTTCTTGTTCTTGCCTCTAGGTCTTTACCATTACAATTACATCAAACGCTGCCAAAAAGGCTGAACAACGACAGCAATGGAACAGTTGGAGATTTTAATGCCACCAAAATCAATACAAACAACCTGTTAAGTGACAAAAACACACTACAGTCCAAGTTCAAATTGTGTATTTTTAAAGTCATTTGGTGACTTTCTTAATCCACTTATAAAATAAGGTGACACCATTATGATCAAGAAGTTACATGAACTCACTTGCACAGGCAATTGAACCTTTTTATTTGTCAATTAATTGGTTTGGAAACACCACAAACAAGCAATGAAGAATATAAGTAGCTATACTCATTTCAGGTGAACATAAAATAAATTTCATCCCATCAATGGTTGGACCTTTCTTGGAAGTGACTCTAGTGCCTGAGCCAGAACTGAGGAAAGCAACTCTTCACATATTCTTTGATATGATGGACTGTGAACAGAGGGTGCATGGAAACTTCAAACAGGTAATCACTTATTGTGCAAACACTCTTCTAAAAAAAACTATTTGTGGTACTGTTTACTATCAGGCTGCAATTTTTGTTTGCTAACCTCAAAATTGTATTAGTACATTATGGAATAGCTGCTAATCACACGTCATTAGTAAGTTATATGTGTAAACAATAGAAATGGAAGCATTTCCAAGCCCGGTTGCGCCTCACTTGTAAAACACAATTTCATACCAAAAAGAACAACTTTTGCTCCTAGTGTCTGTTGCTTGACTTTTAAACTATGGTATGTTTTGAAGATGTATATGATGTATTAATTGTGTACTTAGAGCTCTGAACAAAAAATAATACATTTTCCTAAATAATTTATAAATTAATTTTTTTCTCTAGGTGGAGTCTGAACTCATTGATAAGCTTGATATCCTGATAAGTGACAACAAAGGAGATGATGAGTACAGACAACTGTTTAACACAATGTAAGTCAATTACACATTGAAGTTACACTAGTACTGCCGCTCAGTATCCGTCATATGTTTTATAGTGAGGGTGATACAAGCGGTCATGTTTGCATTCCCTCTAGCCATTAGCGAATTTCCCTATAGGTCAGTAGCTGTTACCGTAGGTGGCAAAGTAAGAATTAGACCCGGGACTGATTTACTTTTGCAATTTGATGTCCCCAGAGGCCAAAAACACTATTCGCTCAAATTTTATGTATATATGTGTCCCTGAACGCAATAACTCAGGAAAGTTTGGTCCAATTTTGATAAAATTTGGCTTGAAAATGTAGGGCGGGATGAATTTCAATGAGTTTGCAAAGAAATTGGGTTATGTGAACAAGGTATTATAGGTTTTTGAAATTTTCGAAAAGTTTTTAAATTTTTTACCCTTGAAACATAAAAATACCCAATTTTTGTTGCAACAAATTGTAGAGCTTAAAAAAAAACAAATTGTACATTGTTGGGCTGTTGTACAATTAAAGTGTAGGGAGAAAATTCTAACAAACTGTACACTGAATGATGAAGAATTTGTCAAGGCTTTCCATGAGATTTAAGATTAAAGATTAATTATTTGGTCATTGAACATGAAATACAGTTATAGACCACATCAGATTATTAAGTTAGTCTACATTGGCTACATATAAAATATTACGTATCAGGTACATGGTGAATAGACATTTTTAAATTGACTAGATAATGTTATTCTTTTGAAGAAAAAGAAATTTGTTGTTGGTTTGCTTGCTTATGGACACATGTTGATGAAGTTTTGATAGTTTATTTATTTAAAACTATACTATTCATTAACATTCGGCCAAAGAAACTTTTTACCTTCCCCTTAGCAGCAAACCGTAGTACTCATAAAATGTAAGTTTATTTAAATGGGGAATAAGTCTTGTTTATATGGAAATATTTGAGTAAAAATCCAATCAGAGATGTTGAAATTAGCTTAGTCTGCAAGTTTGCTGTGGCGGGGGTATTATTTTACTGCATTTAGTTATAGCTTTGACTATTAATACAACAACGTTATAGAGTAACTGGTTTGGCATACTTGTACATATGCCATTGAAAAATAGTAATTTAAGTGAAATATTCTGAACAGTTACTTTATTTCCATGCCTCATTGAATCCAGGGAACATCTCAGTTCAGTGTAAGTAATAGTACTCATGTGATTATAAATTGTAGATATGGTAATACGGGTACAATTGTCATTGTAAAATTTTAAGAAATTAGAAAATCTTAAATTTGATTTACCTTTGTTAGAAGCATGAACATGTTGTATGTGTGTAAGAATTGTTTTTATTATTGTACTGAAGTGAGTTCTACATGATCACTTGTAATAAATACTACTTTATGGATGAGATCTTGAAATAACTAATGTTATGAAAATAAGTTGTCACTCTCAGCCTCCAATTAAACAACTTATTCTAATGTTAAGCTAAAACTTGAATTTTTTATTAAATTAAATTTGTTAATTTAATCCACCGATTCTTTACATCTACTTCATAATACTATTGAATCTACAATAATGGGATCTTGTTTAGTTATTTTTGTTTAGATTTTGCTAGTTGTAGAACAAGTATGGTTTTTAATTTGATTATTTTTTATTTAGTTCAGTATATTTTTGATTCAAGTAGTTTAAAAGTACTGGTATATCTAGTCTTTTTGGTTAGAGTGTTTTGTACATAGAATGTTAAGTTTAAGCATGATAGAACTTCTTTATTCCTTTATCTGCAAAGGAAATATCTCCATTCAATCAGGAGATTCCGTAACTTAGATATGAGGGAAGGCTTTGCAATGCCGGTTATGTTTTGCTTCACCGTACATATTTCCCGTGATTTAACTTATTTTTGTCTCTAATAAAATAAAATGTAAGGAAACTTATAAAAAATGAGCTTAATGGAGAAGCCAAAAGCTTTTTTTCAGTAAAACAAAATAATACTTTTTACTTTCTTTATCCAAAATAACTGAAAGAAAGTTATATTATATTTTTAAAATTTCATAAGAAAGTAGTAAATGATCCAGGGAGCAAAGTAAAGCGTGGACGTGAGTTATAATTTTCTTATTTTCATTGTGATACTAATTTGAGTAAAACATATGTCTATACTAGCTGTTAGACCTAAAACCTAAAACCTAATCAAACCAAAAGAACAATTTGATTTAAAGCTGTTTTCCATTACAGGGATGGCTTATTTGACTGAAATTACTAATATGTACACTGTACAGAATATCTGTTGTGACCTAACTTCTAACTCTAAATATTTATTTATTGTATTTAAAGATATTCAATTCCAAAAGTCTCTTAATCATTTTTATAATCACTTGACAACCACAGTAATTAATTGATTCCAGCTCCAATCACTGACCCAATAATGAGCAATTAATTGCTGGAACATCAACAATTTATCATTCATCTCCATTGGTGATGAAATATCAGAAAATAATTTACATATTGGTCTCAGAATGTTTCATTATGGTACAAAATTACCTCCTTTTATTTTAAATGTACAACAACTTTCTGAATGCATACACATATTAAATTTATTCAGGGACTATGAATCCTCATTAATCCAGACTGTTACTGTTTAAGTACTAAATCATCTATTGTCTGACAGATTGCTGGAGAGAGTTCAGCAGGAAGACCCTGCGTGGAAGGAGAACGGCTCGGCCTTCATCACATCTGTGACACGACTGTTGGAGAGACTGCTGGACTACCGCAGTGTCATACAGGGTGACGAGAACAGGGACAAGCGCATGAGCTGCACCGTCAACTTACTGGTAAAGTGTGATTAGTATGATTTGAACTTTGTGTGTGAGAGAAAATATATAGCCATGAATGAGAGAGGAAAAAGAAGAAAAGAAACAAATAGTATTGAAAATAAGATATTAAGAAAAGTTTTTGGACCAACTTAAGACAACGGTGAATGGAGGCATAACCAGAAATATCTTCGACAGTTGTATAACGAATTGTGGAGGGATAGGAAGCAGGATACTTAGATGGACTGGACACGTACTATGAAGAGAAAAAATTCAAACTTAAAAAACATTTTGAAGGGAACGGTTTAATGAAGAAGACCGAGGGGAAGACCAAGAACTAGATGGTGGGATTACGTCCAGCAAGACGCGAGACTTTTGGGAATTCAAGAAGGCTGATGTTAGAGAAGGATGGAGGCGCAATTTTGTACAAAATGGCCTTAACAGACAGTATGAATGAGAGAACAATATTGGGAAAAATCAGGATGGCAATATTAGGGTAGTTAGGCCAAATGAAAAAGATACATGAAGTAGTAGTTAACAACGGGCAAGAAATTTGTGGAAATTTGTTGGTTGAAGTAAATCTTAAGACGTAATAATATAAAAAATGCTGTATGGATCTAGCAGAGGATAGGTTTTGGAGGGGGGAATTTGTGAGACTGGTGCTAAATTTATGATGATTTATGAAGAGAATGACTTTTTTATTTATTTTGAGTCGACATGTGAGTGTATGTAGTGACTCCACTACAGAGTCCCTTATATTTTATTCTTTCTTTTCATTTTGGCTTAATGTTTGGGCATTTCTATTGGATGAGAAGTTTATTGTTTGTAAAGTAGAGTAGTAGTCTAGTCGTTGTGCAGTATTAACTAGGTCATTTTGAGTTTATTTTCAGTTAAGCTATTAATATATTTTTATTTGACTCCTATTTTTAATAAGCTGTCATGATAGGTGAAGATTGCAGCAACCCACTTATCACCACCTACAAGTTAGGATCATTTATTTAAATTGTCTGTACTGTAAAGTATATCATAAACATGATAGTATTAGTGATATTTCATTGACATCACTCACCTTTATTTTTCCTGGTGATATCCAGGACTCATCAGCTACAATTACACAAACACAATCATCCTGGAAAATTTAGTTTGTTCTTTTGCAGAATTAAATAAAGTCCTGCTTCCTCAGGGTCTGAAAACGTATAGTTGTCCCACTTAAAGGTTGAACGCCTATTCAAGACTGGGATATTCAGAATGATGGAATTTGTGTAAACAATTTTGAATATATGACAGTTAGGTATTTTATTTATTTATCAGGACTGTTAATTCACCCACTATACAAAATAACAACTACAAATAATAACTGATACAAAATAAAACTAAATTAAATAAAATTTTCTGTTTTCATTAAATACAGTTTTTGTACTTTAATAAAGACACTGTTAATAGAGTAAAACACTTAAAAATACTCTTATCACTTTTAACCTCTCCATATCAAGCCTCATTTCGGTTTACTTGCAAACTAAATTCGTTGAATAACTTGGTTTGATTTTGTTTTGCTTGGTAACATTTAAAGTTAAAGAACCTGTGATAGAAGTATTTCTACCAAGAGTAGAGTAATACGGTTATACCATACCATACATTCAACAATTGTTGCAGAACTTCTACAAGAACGAGATAAACAGGAAGGAGATGTACCTGAGGTATATTTACAAGTTGCACGCACTGCACGTCCCCGCAGACAACTACACAGAGGCCGGGTTCACATTGAAGCTGTACGCAGACTCTCTACAGTGGAGCAACAGAGCTGTGATGTCAGATCCTCTGGCGCAGGCCGAGCAGCCGGAGTGGCATCGCAAGGAGCAGCTGTACCACCAGATACTGCAGTACTTTGACAAGGGCAAGGTAAACAATTGACACAATGTCTTCTCAGTACAATACAATACAACATTTCTATTGTGAATTTGTTTGGAATCATATTAGTGCTATGAGTAATAAGTTCATGTGTTTTTATCAGTAGGTAATTTAGTGAAAATCCAATCAGGTAAATGGTAATTCGCTTAGTCTGCAGGTTTGCTGTGGCAAGGGTATTTTATTTTGACCAAGGGCCCAGTTAGTTCACCAGATTAGAAGGAATCATAGATAAAACATACTCCCTTAGTAGATTTCTCATCCTTATGGAACAGCTGAAGACAATTTTATTGTTAGTTCTGTACGGTTTATGTAGAGGTCGTGTTTTGTTTACAATTTGTTTCCCGTTATTACAGTCATTTAAAACCTCGTTTAAACAAATAATACGATCTAATCATAAACAATAAATTGTCCCCTAGCTATATAACCAAACAGTAAAGCATAAATCAAGAAATTAAACTTAAAATAATAGAAACAAAATTTTTTCAACATTAGGGCCCAGTGCCACCGTACATGAACTAGACATGAAAAACGTGCTTCAAAATTTACAATGGGATGAGAAGTCTACTTGTGTTGGTTAGCCTATGAAGGAATCTAGTATCTACTATATAAACTTGTTATCTTTGACTATTACGCTTGGTGTATCAGTTACTCAGGCTGGATTATAATATCTTATGGATTATAAGATCTCGAGTGATGTTAAGATGATGGATTTAGGTATATTTATTTGAATTTAGAAGCTGTATACTAAGTTACTGATGTGCTTGCTGCAGTGCTGGGAGCAAGGTATCCCGCTGTGCAAGGAGCTGGCTAACTTGTATGAGAAGAAGTTGTTCGACTACGGCAAGTTGAGTCACATTCTGCAGATGCAAGCCAAGTTTTGTGACAACATTCTCACACTGCTCAGACCCGAACCCGAGTACTTCAGAGTTGGCTTCTACGGCCTCAGCTTCCCTCTCTTTCTAAGGGTACATGTTTTACTATTGGAATGTATATTCATTGAATTGAATACTTTGAATCTAAACACTGTGTCTTCAAAGAAACAGGATACAATAAAACACCAATTAATAGAGATACAGAGGGCAAAGCCGTTTTGGATATCCTATTTTTCTGGTTAATCAGAATTAAGCATTTAAGCAATGTCTATTCAAAGAGACCTAAAATAGTAGTTATTAACATTATTTTTTAATGATTCATCTTGAAATAAAAAAAAAAACTCAATAAAAAAAACTCTAAAAACTCTTAAACTCTAATAACAATTAAAACTCTATACACAAAATAGTTTTCTTAAAATAATCAACAGTTGTTTACTGAACTTTATATCACAGTATAAGATCTGAATACTGAATACAGTAATAAGTTCAATATATTATATGTATTTTTATTTTTACAATTTGCTTAGTACTCTAGTTCTAAAAACTTATCACCGAGGAGTTTGCTCCCTTTGATGGTCATGAAAATACAAGCATGACAATGACATATTGAATTGTATAGAAATTCAGTTTTTGTATTCTATGTGGGAATTTCTATGGTTTTGCAGAACAAAGTGTTTATCTACCGAGGCCTGGAGTATGAGAGGATAGAGGCCTTCACCCAGAGACTACAAACAGAGTTTCCTTCAGCTCAGATAATGTCCAAGAACAGTCCTCCATCTCACGCAATACTCAACTCTGATGTTCAATGTATCCTTAAAACACAAACAGCACGGATAGTTTATGGGTTTTAATTTGTGCTTTCTATATCCTTGGTATTTTATTTTAATGGAAAGGTCACAACTCTAGTGTTTCTATCCAATGGCGACCTTCTGTTAAATAGCATTAATTGATAGAAAAATAATAATGGTATCTGGGTCTAGAATGCTAAACCAGCAGCCTTCTGATTTTCAAGCCAAGCACCAGAGGCGGCGTTTAGGGGGGGCCAGGGGGGGCAGTTGCCCCCCCACTTTCATAAGGAATATTATTTATAAAAATTATAAAATAGAATTATATCAACAATAAATCTAGATTTCGCCCCCCCCCCACCTCTCAAGCCCAATCGCCGCCACTGCCAAGCACTAGAATAACTCAGATACTAAACCAATTATAGAGTCCATTTTCTGTATTTTAAGAAACTCCTTTGTAAAATATCTGCCCCAACAAAGCGCACAAATTGACTGTTGTTTAATGAAGGTGAGTGAAATCACAGAAAACTTATTACTATAACCCAGAATGCCAACCGCATGGTAAAAAGCATTAAGTGTTTTGAGAGAGCTTTGCCTGTCAACCGTTTTGCTATGCTGAGTGCATGGCAACGCTGGTGGCGCTGCGTACGATTGACAGGCAAAGCTCTCTCAAAACACTTAATGCTTTTTACCATGCGGTTGGCATTCTGGGTTATAGTAATATGTTTTCTGTGGTGAAATGTTGTTTTCTAGCCCAGTGTGTCATTGCCACCTAAAATGTTCTTACACATATTGCTTGATTATAAAAAAAGCCTCTCATTTATATGCAAATAATGGAGATTAAGGAAAAGATAGTTGTTGATAGTCAACACTCAACAGTCAAAGGGTGTAAAAGATTTAAGATTTGTAGTCCATATATCAATACTATACCATCCTTGACTCTAAACAGACATACAAATCTGCAATGTGAAGCCTCTGCCAGATAGTGGGCCTCCCCAGGACGATCCTCCGCTTGCCTCGGTTCCGTTCAAGGTGGCCAGGTTCTACCAAGTGAACCAGGTGTCTCGGTTCCAGCTGGACCGGCCGATACACAAACCTCCCATAGACAAGGACAATGAATTCAAGGTAAACAAAAGTATTATCAACAATAAACAATGTGACTAAGAGTAATTATTTAGGGCCTTGAGTTTTCAGTGCTTGGATGTCTCAGTGGACATTGTTTAAGTAAGATAAAGAACACTTTTGGCTATGAAGAGGAGAATAGTCAACACCCTATTTCCAAATTAAAGTTGTAGACTGTAAATGAAAGTAGTTGATTGGGCCACTGACAGAGTTTGCTGACAGAATGAGTTTGATCAATTAATAATTTCTTTTAGTAGCGCTGCAAATGACGTATCTTGCACATGCCGAAGTACAAATACGCGGTTGTTCAAACCAACTTTTTGACCAAGCTACAAAAAAGAACAATTTATAGCAAATTACTGCGTCTTTTATGTCACGTCAGTTATCACAGTTTCAAAAACCAAGAGAGAAAAAGAGACTTCTGATATTAGAACACTGTGTGAGTGGCTCATCGTACTAGGTTCTACTCAAATGAAATAGTAACACATAATAAATAGAATGTCTACCCTAGTATCCAAAAGTCAATGCTAGAAATTGTTGTGCTCTTTCTACAGGAAATTTACCCTGATTGAGCAAAATTAGTAACAAATTGTTAAGTCATTCTGTGATCTTAAACTAGCAGTGTTGGACGGTTTGATTTCACTTTCAAGAATCATAGTAAAATTGAAAGTCATCACTGTGTTACTGTAGACTCTACTAGACTTATCAAACAATATGAATGAAAGATGATTGATGAATGTCTGAGGTGCTTTTTGGAGTTTTGTTACTGGCCAAGTTGCCAATTCCTACTAGTTGTTTATTTACCATGGGATTTTTTGCTTGTACCAAGGATAGCTGGGCCCGGTTTCAAACTATCAAAAGGCTATCGCTTATGGCTTTCAGGCAAGCTATAAGTATTTAATTATAATTTTGTTATAGGAGTGGAATGTTATTAAAGTGTCCTTGAAAATATAGCTTGTAGTAAATACTTACATACATTGAAGATGTCTATAGTTCATTATTATATACTTTGTGTTCTGCAGAGTTTGTGGCTGGAGCGGACGTTGTTGGGGATCAGTTCGCCACTGCCAGGTATACTGCGGTGGTTTGAGGTGGTGCAGTCGTCCACTGAGGAGGTGCCGCCAGTGCAGTTCGCTTGTGAGACTGTGCAGAACGCTAATAGCAAACTAAACCAACTGGTTACTACCTATGTGCAAGACCCCAAGCGAAACATCAACCCTCTTAGCATGAGGCTTCAGGTGAGCTGCTTTCATTTTTCACTTGTAACTGCTTACTTGATACTTGAGTAATCTATCCCACTGGTAACACAGAACTATGCAGTTGTATTTTTTTGTTAGTTGGTCTAATTAGGCCCGTTTAAGTATTTTTCAATGCTGCAGTGGGCGTAACTCTGTAGATAACCTAACAATAATTTATTTTTGTATAATTTGATTACTGTCACTAAATATTATTTGAACTAAGCTTGTCTGCATGTGCTGTTTACCTTTATGTATGTTTTCAACACTAATTGTTTACTAGGGATACAATGTGTTACAAAACGCTGCCACACTCTTAGTGTGCTTTATTTGTGGAAATATAGGTCCTTTATAACAATGGATAAAGGTATTGAGAGCCAATTAATCCAACCTCCAGCCATTAATCCAATAATCTTCCCTTAGACAAAAATATACTGATTGTAAGTAAGTATCTCAAGGATTGTTGATAATCAAATTGTGGCTAACAGTCTGACATCCTTGGGAACAAAACACAATTATTTGGGTTCAAACAAAAAAGCAAAAGTTTACTGACTGAATAACTACATGAGGCAATAAATAGTGTTATTGGTTTTAGATTGTTGTTGGAGGAGGCATATAGTTGCCAAAATAAACTTCATTAATATCATCATAGTTTTTGAGTGTATTGCTAGAGAACAAGATGACTCACTAGCTTTGATGTTGAAATGCTAGCAGGTTGCCACTTCAAAATCATATTCATATAATCACTTAATTGTTAAAGCGTTGGTGCTGATTCTACGAAGAGTTTTCACTGTTTGTGTGCAGGGAATGATAGACGCCAATGTGATGGGAGGGATCGCTAAGTATCAAGAGGCATTTTTCACTCCAGAGTTCATCAGGAGTTGTCCTACAGCAGCCTCTCATGTTCAGAGGCTTTACACACTCATAGTTGAACAGGTAAGTTAGGACACTGCTTGTTAATTAAATCCAACAAATATTATTTCCATCAGTCAAAAGCTACTAAATGATTCCCAGGAAACCTTAACTCTAGGATTTATGCCAAGGATCAATTATTTCAACAGTTCTCTAGAGAAAAGCTCATGGCTTAGAATTACATCAAGGAAAAATGAATGGATACACTAACTCACCTAAGAAAAGAGTTCCATGTTGTCAGTAGAAAACAGAATGTTTATTGACCCTTATACTACTTCTTTATAAAAAAAAAACTTAAAAAAACAACAAAACCACTAGGTTAGAAGAGGTGAAATATCAGATTAGTTGTTAAATAGTAATGTATCCATCTATTCCTTCTTCCTCAAAGAATTACTGTAGTCCTAATATTTGACATCTTGAAGCATTATTAGTTTTCCTAAGCTAGTTTTACGTAGTGTTTATAACTATCCGAGTCTATGGTTAACGAAGTAGTCATAGCGCTCCTCTATTATATCTAAAGGTTTGATAGTTTAATTCTATACGGGGTAAATTTAAAACCCACCATTTGTTATTTGGCAACTAATGATTATATTTAACTAAAGGTCGGTGTTAGATTATTACAACACCAAGGTTCAGACTGGTCAAAAAATACCATCAGCGTAGAAACCCCCCCCCCCCCCCAAAATTGATACTTTGCTTCCTCAAGGGGGTTCTTCAGAAGGAAGGTGTAGAAGGTTCCCCTTAAAGTAGTAAAATATCAAATTAGTTGAGCTCTGAAAACTTTGATGTACTATCTTCTCCGTCTTCCTTGAATCTCATCCTTTAAGTATTTTTAGTTTTCTCAATCTACTTATACTGTATGTACTGTATGACAGGTGGACATCCTAGCCAGTGGACTGGTGGTACACGGACAGCTGGCCCCTGCTGAGGTACAGCCTCTACATCGTAGATTGCAGGAGAGACTAGACCAGCTGAGAGTCAGCATCAAGCGACCCATGGACAGCATTGTCAAGTCAGTACAAGTGTTAATTCTAAATTTTAATAAGACACAACATATGTTTCATGTATGAATAGAATAGTCATTGAATAGTCACTGAATAGTCATTTATTCAGTCTTTAAACAATACATTATTGTAATTGACATCGTCATTATTATTGTAAAAAGATATAAGATGCAATACTTATATAATTAATAAAATTAGACATGAAAAATCCAAAATATAGGCTGCCCTTAGTTTAACATTTAACAGGTTTAAAATAATTTAAAAATAGGCAAACTTAACAAACTTAAATTATGAATGATAGTGGGTCTTTCTTAAAAAAGGCTAATGGTTATCACAGGTGTAACAATGAACATAGAGGAACAAAATTTTGAACATTATCACAGATGGAATATGGTAAAAAACATATCAAAATATGCTCTTGAGTAAGACTGGTCTAGGGATGCTTACCATCAGAAAACTTAGCTCATTTTTGTTGGCAATTGGACAGATTAAATCATTTAGTGATGAATTGTCAGTTTTTAAATTCCTTAAAGGCATGGATTGTTGAATGCATCCTATATGGGTAGCTAGAGACTTAAGGCTTAATTGACTAATTGGCCGGATGTTGATGAATTATGCCTAATATTTGGCCATAGCTGTGTCTGTATTTGAAAGACATATTTTTAAAATGTTTGGGTTTGAATTTTGCCAATTATCAATGGCTCACCACCATGAGATTTTAGGTATTACCTACCGAGATGATGACATTCTGTGTGTTGGTATTAAATCCCAAATTGAAGATGTTAATTTACAAATATCTTAAGTAAGCTGTATGGACTGAAAAGATGGAACTACAGTAAAACTCCAATTATTTGAATCAATAGTGACCGTACTACATTCGGATGACGATGATGATGTCTAGAAGACCACAATATGTGCAAGATTTTGCTGTCATTGTGAAAAACTATGACGATGTTTCTGTGACCACGGGAGACGATGATTATGTCTACACGACCGCGAGAGAGGTTTTGGATTTTGCCGCTATCTCAGCTTCTGCCTTCCTTAATAACGATTCTCATTAATTGTAGTTTTAAGTTTTTAATATACTTTCTGTAAGCGATTGGGATGATTGGTGATTCGGATGGTTGAAGTTCGGATAATTGGACTTCTACTGTACCTCCAATTGTGTACTGACAACTGTATCCTCCCGTTATTTTACCCCACAATGAAGAACTGACACATGTAATTTACACTAACACCCAACAATCAACCTAGTTAATAATGACTTACGAAGACACATATTAAATCTGTTCTCTTCCAGCACCCCTCTACCTCCTGTGCCATGTGCTGAGCAGTATTGCAACACTGTGGGGTACAACCACTTCAGTGCTCAGGAGGACGATATCTACAGCAAACCTCTGGTAAGCTGATGCTACAATGCAATAGAAGTGTATAGATTGATTTAAAACATCGTATTTAGTCTCTTTTCACCAAGAATGTATAGGCTTGTTTGTGCATTTTATACGTTTTGTATTTTTGTATCTATTGAAGTCTAGTCTCATTTTATTAACCGATGTTTTTTTATCCTGGAATAAATGTTGATTGGGATGTGAAAAATTACCAACACCTAATAGAATGTATTTAATTGTAGTTTGTAATAGTTTTACAAGTTTGTTTAAGAGATTTCTGGACATTATTGTATAAAAGCATGTGTGTTTCAGGAGTTGTCAGAAGCACTTGATGGCAGAGACTCTCCTCCTCCAGCCATCCCTGTCAGGCCAAGGTCTACTGGGACTAACTCCAACACTAGGTAATGGCGAACCCTAGGCAGAAACTTGGGATCAGGGATGTTAGCATGCACTCAGTAATATCACGATGTGGTAGTCATATGAGTGTAGTGACTACCGGTTTTCAGAAAAACTACATTAATATGATCTGAAAGGCATTACTTGCAATAATACAAAATGTGAAATCGATTTCATGATGGATCGGTCTCTCGATTGTCAGTGATAAAAAAAGGTGTAGGTTATCTGTGTTGCTAGCAGAACGATCTGTTGGAGTGTAATAATTCAACTACAGCTGTTTTGTGCTTTGGAAAATGGAATATATCTTCTGCTCTGAATGTCTAGCACTCGGTAGTTTTAAATAAAATAAAAATAAATGAATTTAAAATTATAAAAATATTTGTTAAATGGTCAATAACGTCATTTTTATTCAACTAGATATTCTGAACTGAAGATGTACTCTTTTCCCGAAAACAAAAATATGAAGTCAAGTCAAATTAAGCTACATTGGATAGTTTCGACAGCAAAACACAAGTAACCTTATGAAATTAAACTATTGCTAGGAATAAATATTGAAGAAGTGTTACTGACAAAAAAGATACACGCTTAACCACCTCATTATATTAAGGGTTGCCATCTTTAATTAGGGAAAAACGAGACCCCTCCTCCCCCCAGTATTAACACAGCATAAACATGGGCAAAATTTTCTGAAGTCGGGACTGTCCCAACAGAATCGGGTCGAGTGACAACCCAGCATTAACTCTCCTACTCTTAACTATTTGTTTTGTTAAGAACACTAGTAACAGGATTATATTCAAAACTGTTAATTGAGGAAGTATAAGTTGATGTTCAGAAATATGCTGATTTATGTCCTAGATAAATAGGCCTAACGCTTTTTTATTTAAAGAGATTGACGGCCTCTTTTAACCTTGCATTTTGTCTCCCATAAGAGTCTCAAAGGCCTGTGCATGGAACATATAAAGGGAAGCGAGGGGTGAGCCGCTACAGTACAAGAATGAATTGTATAGATAAATTTCAAATTACAGCACTAGGTTGAATCCAAGACATTGTTACTTGGTTTTGCTGTTCATCATAGTATCGATTAAGCCACCTGACTCACCAAAAAGCGCTTGTTAAGAACTTGATCAAAAGTTTAATAGGAGTGTTTCTTTTAACTCAATGAACGTGTTACACTTGCCCACTGATGTTGATTCACATGTGTTGCAGTGGTGGAGATGGTATGAAGAGACACCAGAGGTCGCTCAGTAGAGTACAGTCTCAGAGGCTGTCTGATGGTGGAGGTGAAACTGCAGGGGGTGGTGAGGAGGCTCCACCTCTACCCCCTCGGACCAGTAAGTGCTAAGTGACTAAAGCTTCATCAATGGGTTGCATATGTGTATATTTTACCATGCAGACCTCTCACCTATAGTCCCTTAAGTTTACTCATAGAAGTGTAGCGCTTGACAGAGCCTAATATTTCTAAAGAGATTAGGAGCTAGTTGTTTGTGGTCTGAGGAGATAAGAGTAGATTTAGCAAAATTTCTTTTAGGTCTTTGATTAAATTACGGTAACATAACTCTCTTTGGGGTAGCTAAATGCTGTAAAGAAAGAAAATGCTGTAAAAGAAATACCCCAAAGAATGATACAAATTCACAAAACAACTAGATTGATTCCTTATAAATCAAATTCGGACAAAAATCAATATTTATCCCCCTATTAATGACTACTCTTTTCGTTTCAACCTTATCTCCCTAAAAACAAAAGAACAGGACCTAAACCAAAAACAGTACCTACTCACCCAACCTACTTTTGGTTCTTCTATGCTACCTGAACTGACCCTTTTCCTAACCAATGGTGGGTTATTTATCCGCCAGATTTGCTAATAATAAGGCACTTCTTGTGTATGTAAACACCTCCAGAGCTTTTCTAAACTTGCAAGGTCTGACCACACATCATCAACCTAGCTATACTCTCTTTACACCTATTTTGATTTGGGAATGATACATGTTTAACCATCGCTTTCATGCAATTTAATTAAACATAAACAAAAAACGCGATTGGCTTGGCTTGTTTGCAACTAACTAGAATATGGTTAGAAACGTGTATAGGTGTTCTAACTTCATCTAGAAAATCTACAACTCTTTTGACTAAAATTCTTTTGAATTAGAGTACCGGTACTATTTTATTGCTATAATGTAGCTAACAATCTTGTATTTCAGCCCCAGACAAGAGGAACAGTGGAGAAGTACCTCCTGCGCCTCCTAAACGACTGCCTAGTCGTAAGGTCTGTATCACATGTTATACTATACAGGATATTTTACCTGAAAAACTATCCATCTCAACATTTTTACACACATCTTGAAGATTTTTATTAGGCTTCTAGTTAGAGCATTTTTGATGTCTATGCCAGTGGAATTTCGCATGAAAGAAACACAAATCTTTTTGGATAAGCTGTCTTCCTTGCACCGTCCGAGATGCTAATTAACCACTAAGCAACATACCCTTCCCAACAGCCAGCCACACAAGCACAGAGAATTAAAATTCATGCTAAAGGCTGCTCACTTTTTATCACCTATATTTAGACAGGAGTTCCTCATCTTATTGAGAGAAATATCATATCAGCACTATTAACCTGACAAACAGTCCATCACAATATCCAACCTTTTATTTGTGTAAACTGCACCAGCTATAGTTCGGTCGCTTAGAAAGCGACCTCCTCCAGCATTGGTTTAGCATTAGCGCGCAGGTCGTTTTCTAAGCGGCCGAACTATAGTGAAACCTGGCATTGTATCAACTTATGACTGTTGTATACTAATGGCATTAAAATTAAACTTTTTATTCAGTTTAGGAACAGATTAGAGTCCTAGTTAGATGGGTGTTGTGATAGATTTCATTGATCTTTTCTTGTAGATCAAAGATTTTATACTTTTCCCAGGATTCTGAAGGGGCTGCGGACTGTGCAAGCTTGTTACGAGACTCAGGCTACTCAGAGAATAGTAACAATCTGTCGGGGTACGAGGAGTGGGTGTTGCCCCCCGCAGTGTCCCCCCGCACACAGGGGCCCCCGCTGCCTCCACCCATCCCTCCTAAGGCACCAACACATGCTGATGAGTCTAGCCATGGTGGGTAACAAGTTGATTTTGTGATCCATAGATTTAAAAGGTAGAAGTTTGCGAGTCAATGTAAATCCTTGTTGGGGATAGAATAAGAAATTGTTTTAAATTTAGTAGTTATCAAATTAATGCATTTAACACTTGGGGCTTACATTTAATATATTAAGACTGTACTGGGATCATCTTTACCTTGGATAGCAAATCCCAGTCTACTTAACAGTGTGTCTACTGATCATTGTGATCATTGGAGCATTGGGGTTGTTACCGATTATAGGCCTACTAGAGGTAAAAATCATTGATTTTACTGGAGGGTGAAACAGTCAGTGATTGATTTTACTTTGGGGTCACAAAAGTCACTGATATAATTTAAAGAGCAAGTCAGACATTTCACCAGCTAGGCTATCCTGAAAAAATGTAAAGTATACTTTTGATTTTGGTTTGAGTTATTAGATACACTCAACAAATTGTTTAATTTGTTCAAATGTATTAACCCTTTCAGTGCTATGCGACGATATATCGTTTTGCGTCTTTTTCCCGAAAAGTGCTATGGAACAATATATCGTTACGGAAAGTAAATAAAAGAAACGTCTTATAACACTTAAAACATATATTTACGCTTATACTGTTACTCACAAGACGGTAAATATACAAAACAGATGGTAAGTGGTGATCGATTTCGATTGGACACTCCAATCATCATCAGACCCAATAGGCGAATGACATAACATTCGCCTATTGGGTCTGATGATGATTGGAGTGTCCAATCGAAATCGATCACCACTTACCATCTGTTTTGTATATTTACCGTCTTGTGAGTAACAGTATAAGCGTAAATATATGTTTTAAGTGTTATAAGACGTTTCTTTTATTTACTTTCCGTAAATTTAATAACACGTACAATGCTGATCAAGAAGTTATTTAATATATCGTTGTCCGCGTTTCATTCGAAAAGTGCTAAGCACTATTAACAACATATATTAGTAATATATCGTGCCGGCGCGGCTTTCGATCATGTGAGTGTAAATGAGCATATCGGTTAACTCGGTTTTGAAACAGTGATGGTTTCTTTCTATTTCTTATATGATCGAGGCCCGATATATATTTCCTTAGTACTTTTGAGATGAAAGATTCTGTTTTTACCAATTTTTTTTCTAACACAATAGACTTCGCCTCCGTGGCAAGCCTAGTACTTTTCGGACTAAATAAGTAAATAATTCTAACATTTTCAGGAAAATTATTTTAAAAATCTAGCATCGAAGGGGTTAAGTTGTGTATTTCTCAAAGGATATTTTATGAAGATTTTAATATTATTTTGATATATTGATAACTAATGTATCTGTTGTTGCAGTAGCCGCAGTCACCAGAGGAGCCGTAGAGAACTACTCGGTACCCAGACTACAAAGTAACATTCCAGACCCCGACCACGATACATAAGCATCAATGGTCAACATTTAGTGATATTTCTTCTAAGAGCTTTTTATACTTTAACCGCACTAGTAAGTGGGAATTTCTTATTTTCTTACATTTCTTACATCTTATGATGTTATTTTTGGCACAACTAGTTGCAAAGAATTTTTTATTATCGCGAGTTCAAAATGTTTTTCACTTCCATAATCATATTTTATTTTGGCTTGAAAGTTTTAGAATTATTATCAGTTTTAGTTGTTGTAATCTTTTAAGTAAACCTCAATAATCTTTTTAAACATATGCTTTTCCAAATTTTGTTAATGTTAAAACCACAAACCCTTGAAATTGTGCTTCTAGCAACTTGTGTATCCACTATTCTAAACTGCTTAACACAATCTTTAACATGTTTTAATGTTTTGATGGAGGTTTATGTAAACTTTTTTTAAACACAAAACAACATAAAAGTTGCATATTGAGTAATTTAATTCTACGTTTTATTTTGGGAATATGCCAGATAAAGTACCTTATGTCTTGTGCAGACCTTTTATAGGGGAGTGAGTCAGTATTATAGGTAAAGTCATTGGTTGGGTTTGAATCCTAGTTTCATTGTGTATTTTGAAACAGTATAATTAATTATTATTTGTACACTGCATTTTACCTCTGTGGCATTGCTTAGAGTGTTTTTTCTTGCTCCCAATAAGTAAAACTTAAGTAATATTAACAAATAACTATTATCAAAATATCTTGGACAATACAACAAATTTCCTTTTTTTTCTCATTTACCATGGCTTGAATGTAATAGTGGTTTAACTACTGTTATTGATTATACAACTACATCCAATTTGAAAAAAGTACAATCATTAGGTATTTTATTTAATCATAGTACTGTAAAAACTAGGTAGAATTTAATGATCTAGAAAACTACTATATTTCATCAGTAGGGCGTAAATTGACTCTTTTTCGGCCAGCTTAAGTTTCATGAGGTGAAACCAAGGTCGGAAAATGAGCAATGGTTGAATATTTACTTTTTGGCCATGTGATGAATTACTATATATTTTTCGTCATATCACAACAGTAACAATCTTAGCTAGAAAAATAATACTTTTCATGAAAAGATAACCTCTCAAAACGACTTCCAACTTGTTTTCAATTTTGTTAATGCAAATAAGCAGCTATTTAGTAAGTGATTCAATAATTTAGTCTATTACCATTGTGTTAGTAAAAATTACTATCGATATGTGAAGCTATGGACAAGAATGCAACAATAAGCTACAACCGATGTATCAGTTGATACATAATTTTGCGTAGTTTACAACTATTTTTACAACAGCAGATTTTTCTCCCAGGGATATATGGTAGGGAAATATAAAAACATCTGTTTTTGCTGCAGTATGACGAAAAAGTATTTTTTACTCAAGATTACTGATGTATCTTCCTATAATTAGTTATGACGATGATAGCGTTTCTGTGTCAAATAGGTTTTTTTACGGGTAGTCTTCGTCTACCAACAACTGGATTTTGTAAATGAATAGGAAAAATATTGAGATTATGACTTTAGCATGCTCAATAGAAAAATTTAAATTCAAGCTTAATGAGTGTTACTTCTAAAAGGTTTTATTAATAATTTTAAAAGCCATAGAAATTGATCTTTAATCGTACTGGTTTGATTTTGTACTTGGTTTGATTGCTTTGAAGTTGTATTGAAATTAGAAAATGTTTGGTATAATGTCACTAGGCAAACGGCTTTATTGGTTTATATATATTTTAAATCTGTTGAGTCTTGGATAATATCACCACCTTAAAATATACAGTAGACTCCCTCTCATCCGGACTCCTCAGGACCGAGGCCAGTCCGGATAACGGTTTTTCCTGTTAAACCGACATCGCCAAAAACTCGTTAAAACGGACCGTTTACTGTGATATTCGACTTAAATTTAGGAGAGTATTGTATTTAGACATGTGATCACTGGTCTCAAATCTTTCCCACGAGAACAGTCGTTTCAGTACCTCCCACTTTCGCCGATCTATTCTGGTTAAACCAATGTGCTGATAAAAAATTTCCGGTTAAAGATATGTCATTTCCGCCGAGTGTAGTCCGGTTAAAAGGTGTCCGGATAAGAGGGAGTCTACTGTATATATAATCCAAAATTAAAAAAACCTGTATTTAGATATTTTTAACTTATTACATTTGTTAATTGTACATGATAACTAATAGGCCTATGTATCCTACAATGTAATTTTTTTGTATAAAATTAAGGATTTAAATATTTTAAAGATTTTTTCAGCCACTTACAGTGCAAAAAAGTACAAATAATACATCAGTGATGCTTTTGTTTGTATAGGTTTCAAACAGTAAACCTGTAAACCCTTAAAAAGTAGCTATGAAATAATGTGTTTTATATTCTTGTATTTTCGAAGTTGAGAATCCAGAATTTGTTTAAGTTTTTCTCTCTAGTTGGTCACCTTATTGTAATTGGTGACCAATTCAGAAAAAAAATAATTCTGTTCAAAGCCAAATCTATCTCTCTAATCTTCTCCAGCTGAGTTGAGGAATACGTAAATACAATTCATACAAGATTGATAGGTGACATTTTTCAAACAGATATAAAGAAGACTAGCTCAAAGAGTAATTACATTTTTATTCACCAATCATGTAGTTTCTAATCTGTGCGTGATTCGAAAGTTTATTTACGGTATTTGGTTTCTGGATTCTCACTTCAGAGGGATAGTTTTGTCTAATGGAGCTTAACTCTTAGTAACTACAACTGCCACTAACCAGGTTTTGTGCTCTGTACTCTTTTGTAACTCATCTCTATACTATATGATGGAACGAGTAGTAAATGTTGAAAGTATACAACGAATACATTATCATCTGGCCTCATATCGGCTTCTGTAAAATGCACTAGTCAAGTTTAGCTATAGTCTAGTATTAGTTGAATTGTATGATATATTGTTGCCAACTTATTATATTTTATCTAGCTTATTACTTTATAGACTGAGCTTTGTTTAGCCATTTGCACGGATACCGGTATTTGTTATTGCATGACTTATTTTATTTTTGTTGATTCCTTTTATGTGTTAAAAGTATTTTTTTAACGATTTTTGTAGTTTTGTATATTTTTATACATGCTGAATAAAAGTTGTAAATCTCCGTGTGTACATGTATCATAATTTGTAGATGATAAAATTATATTTTTATGGAGTCGACATTTATAATATCTTATTGTTGTGATCCTGATTGAATTCAGTATTTTTTCTGGACGTTTCTCGAATGTGTATCTAGATTTACCTGAAAAGTATACCTGAAAATATATTTAGTATTGGAAAATGTGGTTATGTTAAGTGTTTATCAGTTTAAGCTTTGAACTGAAACATTCAGTTTTGTAACTTGTCATTCCTGTGTAATTGTGTGTGTTTATTTTATCATCCGTAAAACCAGTATTATAAAATGGTTACGCCAACATTACTGTAATTAAATGCTCAAATAAAGCCATTGATAAAAAAAATTACCTTTGAGTGAATAACCTGAATTTCTTTGAATATAACCAAAGGTGCGGTTTAGTTATTCTTTGCTATAACTTTTTTTGCTTAAGGATTACTTACTGAAATAATCAAATCTCTCTTCCCCACCCTATATAAAACGTTACATAATTCGCCATTTTTTTTGTAGCTGTTTGGCGTTTAGATTGTTAAAGGTTTCTTTTTTTTATTTGGGTAAGTGGAAAATACTTATGAGGCTATAAAGTAAAGTAATATATATTAGTGATGCTCATGCAAATATGAAAATGATGTAACTATGATCACATTTTTAAATACATTTTGTAGATACACATATTTACTTTAAAAAACTTGTAAAATTGAAACGTAATTCCAGATAAAGTAGTGAAGGTACGCAAAAAATCAATTAGTCAATGGATATTGATGTCACATGAAATAGATTTTTGTTTTACCCAAATTCTTTTTTTTTAGTAGGTACCCTTTACCTGCAGCTTGACAAATATCACAATAATTAACAAAGAAAATAATACAATTTTTCCCTTCGTTTCGTCAGTTTTAAACCCTATTGATGCTATTTGAGAGACAAATTTTATCAGTCTTAATAAGAATAAAACATCAACAAATAACATACAAAACCATTCACTTTACCTATAACATATTTTTGTTCTTCCTAATTTCTTCGATTTTAGCACCCTTTACCTGCATCTAGATAAAAATCACTGTAAACAAAGAAAATAATACCAAACTTTCCCTACCTTTGTCAATTACAATTACATACTTTTGTTTTACCCGAATTCTTCAATTTACTACCCTTTACCTGCAGCTAGATAAATATCACGGTAAAAAAAAAATAATACAAAACTTTCCCTACCTTTCATCAACTTAACAAAACCATTTTGTTGCTAATAACCAATCAACAAGAAAAATTTCAAGACAAATTTCATCATTGTAAAAATAAGACATCAACAAACAACATACAAAACAATTCACTATCCATTATACATACTTTTTTTACCCAAATTCTTCTATTTTAGTAGTGGTTACCTGCAGCTAGATCACAGATTTATCACAGTAAACAAAAAATACCCCCGCCGCAGCAAACCTGTAGACTAAGCGAATTGCCATTTACCGGGCTGGATATTTCTACTAAAATATTCCCTTAAAATAATTGTCAGATCTATTTCCTAATTAAATACCTAACAATTATTTTAATGAATACTTAGGTTTGCTGCTATAAGGAAGGTATTGAGGTGTTTTTTTTATCAAAATGTTGATAGCTTCGAATAGAATAAACAAAATTGCCAAATTTGATAAAAATATATCCATAAACAAGCAAACTACAAAAGTTTTTTTATTCACCATAAGAATAACATGGGAATTTTTAATTAAAAAATGTTTTGAATTATTTCGGTAACTGCATACAACAACGCTTTGATATACATAATTATTTCTTTTTTTAAGCTCTACAAAATAGTTTGGAAAGAAATTGTGAAATTTTATGTTTTTAGTGTAAAAAATGGGAAAACCCCATTTTTACCCCATAAAACCCCCATAAACCTCTGTTCCCATTGTCCGATCATGCTGGTTTGCAAACTCGTTTGAATAAACATAGGTTTACTTGTTTGTACCAAATTTCATCAAAATCGGATCATTTTTACTCAAGTTATCGCACTAATGGACACTATGAATTTGAACGGAGGGTGTTTTTGGCCTCTGAAAACCTCAAAACGATCAACTAAATCGGTACTGGGTCTAGGTCTTGCCTTGAGACCTACGGTAATAGCTTATTCCCTCTATGGGAAATTCGCTAAAAGTACAAAACCAACCCTATCTTTCTTCAGTTACAAAATCCTATTGTTGTTAATTAAGACACAACAATATATTTTCAGTGTAAAAACAACATTCATAATCATCCACTTTGACTTTACCCATTCCATAATTCATTGTATTTACATAAACACATTATTAATACCAGCACCATTGACTAAAGATACATAGTTTCAAAAATACTATTGATTTTGCTGATTTTAGAAACGAAAGTAAACTGCATGAAATTGTATTTTATGATACTGTTTCGTTAGTTCAAGCAGAGGTTAAGCAAACACAACGACTAAATTTATCGGCATCTCATGTAAGTTTATGTGAAGTGCAAGTGAGTAAATATAGTTGGGAAATCTTTGTAATATAGTTGGGAAATCTTTGTAATATAGTTGGGAAATCCGTGTAATATAGTAGTTGTAGTTGGGAAATTCAAAGTATGTCCCTTCAATATATCTTTCTTGTGACACCCCTGATTGTCCTTCCACCTCCACCTGCAGCAAGAACTACTAAACTCTTGTATAAGTATTTAAGAATAGTCAAATGACTTGACTACTTTACAGCTTTGGGGTGATTGTTTTCCTTTGTTCACGTCTGTTTTGCACATTTGCCGGTTGGCAGCAGAGCGGAAATAGTCAGCGTCCGCAGATGAAAGTTTGCCCGCTTTAATTTCCGGGGTGCGCGCGCAGTCACCCCTCGTCGCGGATTTTTTCAAACATAAACGACGCATTTGTTAAAACGTAAGAATTTAAAAATAAATTCAAGCTTGGTGTACATTTTCTAATGTTCTTACGATTCTTGAAAGATACACGCCCTTTTATGTTTTATACTTTATGATTGGTGTGTTACGTTTGTCGTAAAGGAACTGGCCAAACCCACCCGTTTTCACTTCTATCGTCGAGATTTTGTTACAGAGCATCATTAATTAGCAGCCCAATAACAAGTAGTGTCTTGGTTAAGAATCGATACAAATCTGTATCAATCCAGCTATAACCTCTCGGCTTCGTTGATGATAAATGGATTTGGGTATTGGATTCCCTCCGAAGAACATAACCTAACTCATTTAGGTGAAGAGAAAGTAGTTAATTTTACATAATTGTTGTAATAACCAACTGGACATTGTTAAAGTACAAAGTAGTACAAAGTACAAGTACAAAGTAGTGTCAATTTCATATACAGGGTGTTGAAAATGTCTGGAACCAACATTATATCTCGTGAGTGGTTAAAGAAAAACAACTGATATTTTGTGTACGGATATACTATGGTTTTACCTATCTTTTAGTGCCTTATGAAAATTTTTACCACTTATAGGGAACGTCCTGTGGAGGATGCAGTAAAAAGTTTTAATGGAAGCCTATGGTAAATGATACATCATTTTAAAGGCCATTTTTTTCTGAGTAAGGAGCCACAAGTTTCATCTCAAAAGGACCACCCTAGCAAAAATGGCGACTGTTTGAAATTTAAAAAACCACTTATAGGGAACGGAATTTTTAAATTTCAAACAGTCACCATTTTCGCTAGGGTGGTCCTTTTGAGATGAAACTTGTGGCTCCTTACTCAGAAAAAAATGGCCTTTAAAATGATGTATTATTTACCATAGGCTTCAATAAAAACTTTTTACTGCATCCTCCACAGAACGTTCCCTATAAGTGGTTATTTAAATTTCAAACAGTCGTCATTTTTGCTAGGGTGGTCCTTTTGAGATGAAACTTGTGGCTCCTTACTCAGAAAAAAATGGCCTTTAAAATGATGTATCATTTACCATAGGCTTCCATTTAAACTTATTACTGCATCCTCCACAGGACGTTCCCTATAAGTGGTAAAAATTTTCATAAGGCACCAAAAGATAGGTAAAACCATAGTATATCCGTACACAAAATATCATTTGTTTTTCTTTAACCACTCACCAGATATAATGTTGGTTCCAGACATTTTCAACACCCTGTATATGTGGGCTGTTTACCTACGACCTACGACAGTGTTTTAAACTAAACTAGAAGTTTCAGTTCAGTTCCTAGAATAATTGAAAAGACTCACGTATCAGCATTGTTTTACTTAAAAACACGGGTAACCGACCAATGAGGTTCAAGGATTGAGAGAAAAGAAGTAAAAATGAAATACTTCGAACTAACTAATCAGCTGTTCAGGTCAATTTAATTGTTGAGTGGTGCAATTAGTGTTCGGTAGAACGAGTCGTTGCATGACTGTCAGTGGCAATGAGAGGTTATAACCTCTCTAGAAGAGAGTAGTGATTGTAGTAATTAAAAAACTTTCGTAGGTAAAGTAGTGTAAATAGTCTTAACGACACTCGTAGAAGTTTTTAAGGCACTCGCCAAGGTTCGTACCTTAAATTTTTACTCTTGTCGTTAAAACTATATTTACGCGATCGTTGTGTAAACTCATGCGTAAACTATTATTGTGTTGCATAACCTCAATGTGTGACGAGCTTATTCGCTATAAGTATGTCGAAAATTGATTTCTTGGATGGAAAACTCCATGTAATATTAATATCTATTACTGCGGGTTTAATCTATGGTAACCAACTGTCCTTGATCATTGGGATTTTAACGAATAGTCCTGACTGCAAAGACCAGTCAGTTAACAAAGCTAGCTTCACCATTGAATTTTTATATACGGTAACACTATAGTGTTTTATACCGGGATACCGACATTCACTCCATTCTATAGAGCCATTCAGCATTTTATAAAGATATACGAACCAATCAAATCACATATTGAGTTATAAAACTACAAAAATTACTTGTGAAATGAAACTGTCAACAAGTACCTACCCACAGAGCTGTACCTACCTATGGTCAATTTATTCCGCCCGAGTTAAAGAATCACAAACCAGTTTCAACCGAAACGTACAATTTTCCCAAATACAGCAACGTGTCGTAAATCAGGGTACAAATTAAGGATATTTTAAGAGTGTTCTAGGGCGATTTTAAGCCGTTTTATCTGGCCAATAAATAACTGTGCGCTGCGATAAGCAGAGGTTGGCGTGAGAGCCTGGGTAGTTATGTGACGTCATCAGAGCTGCCCTAACCAACGGTCACAGTATGAGTGAATAACATCATAGACTTTTGGATACTAAATCAAATATTTCATACAAATGGATCAGACAAAGCCATTTTTGTACATATTGAAGTTAATAGAAGTTTCTATC